GCCAAGCTAGCTGTTGTGCTCGTTCTGCCCTTGAAGCAGAAGCACCTGTGACCTCTGGTTTTGCATGTTTTCCCCTGGACCCAGCGCCTAGAAAGGCCCCGGTGCGCATGGCCTCCGGCACGTCGGGTGTGCCAGTGGCTTAGGAATTCTCCGTGAGGACCCGGGCGGCCTTCGAGTCCCTGTTTGCTTCTGTTGTTTCCCAGCGGGGAGCAGGGGCTCCCCACGGAACATGCTTCCACTTTACCAGGAGCTGAAGTGCCTGGGGGTTGCGCCTTCACCTGGGGTAAGCCCTGCTCTTAGACAGGATTCTGGAGGGTGCATGTGCCTGTTTATGGGATCAACTTGTGAGTCTTGGGGTTTGACATTTCACCTCCAAGTTATTGTGAATTAACTTCTCTCAGATGCTCCTCGTTTGGGACTGGTATTATATTTGACTCGAGGATCGAACAAGTGACGCCTATTCTTAGCCACTGCATTAAAATGGACCACTAATTGGCTTTCAAATATTGCTGGCAATATAGAAAATAGAGACTTTGGGGTAAAACTTTCCAGGTTTGGTTTTTTTTTTTTTTTTGACCACAGGAAATAAGCAAAAGGCCAAAAAAGAATGGTGAGGAAGAACTTTGACTCACACATCGCTTCTCCGCCTTTTGGCTAAGATCAAGTGTAGAACTTTGATTCACAATTGACAAATAGGACAGATGGTTACTTTATTCAGTTTGATTAACTGCACGGAAACTTAATCCTTTCATGTGAAATTGAACTTCCTTTGAGAAGTCGGTCTTTGAAGATTAATTTACTTTTTTTTTAAAGATTTATTTATTTATACAAGAACTGGGGTATAGATCAAAGGTATGGGAGGTTTAGAGACTCACCAGAGACAGAGCAGGGAACAGAACGGGCAGACGGATCGAAGACACTGCTGAGGGGAGCAGGGGGCGAGACAGGAGAGGTCTGCTGCGCCCTGTGGGTAGCTCCCTGGCTGGCTGGGAATCGAACTGGCGCTGCAGAGGCTGCAGACAGCTTCACACCACAGTGCTCAGCCCACTGCACCACCGGGGAGGCCCTGGAGATTAATTTAAAATGAAAATCACAATCCCTGAAGATTTATTTATACCAATTGGTATGTTACTAGCGGAAGCGCCAGTGCTGTGAACTACTGCAGGTGACCAGCCTTTGCGGATTGTTTTTGTTAATTCTAGTCGGTTAATTCCCTGGTAAAGAACTGTTTGCCTTAAGCTGAGCAGTGTAGCCCTTGGCAAAAAAAGTTGTTTCTCTCCACTGCGATTTCACAAGTTGGTTGTTTTTCGTCTCGAAACTGGATTAATAAGCTTGTCATCACGGTTAACTATTTTTGAGGATTAGAGCCCGCCCCCACGTGGCGCCTCGGCAAGGTCTGGTTGGTTTTCCCTGGTGTTCTGGCACAATGCGCAGAGGGTGAAGCCGGGTTTCAGAGCGATTGCTTTGAATTTTAGGAGCGGATTGCCGTAAAGACAGGCGATTTCTCCGTCACCCACTCCGCTTCTCCTGCCCTCTGAAGCTGTTAAGTGATTCAGGCTGAGGGCTTCGCAGGCTCTGGGCTTTTAAAGGGTTAGGTGTGGCCCGGCCCGGCCGGCAAGACTATAAACCCCGTCTGGGCCTCCGTGGGCAGCCAGGCTGCACCCTTGCAAGAGACAAGCCGCCACTCTCGACAACAAGGTGACATTTCACAAGCGTCCCATGTTTGTTGATAGAACAAAGAAATGTCTGTGCGATGAGAAAGTGGGGAGGTGCAGCTGTTTAAACCTCAGACGGGCACAGCACTTGCTTGGGAGAATGAAATCTTTTGAAAAATTAAGTGGATTTTTTCTACAAAGAGCTGATGAGACTCAACAACAACAAAGAAAATAATCCAGTCAAAAAATGGGCAGAAGAGCTAAAAAGAAACTTCTCTGAAGAGGAAATGCAAATGGCCAACAGGCATATGAAAAAATGTTCAACATCACTTGTCATCAGGGAAATGCAAATCAAAACTACCATGAGATACCATCTCACACCAGTGAGAATGGCACATATTAAAAAACTAGCAACAACAAATGTTGGCGAGGGTGTGGAGAAAAAGGAACTCTCCTGCACTGCTGGTGGGAGTGCAAACTAGTCCAGCCACTATGGAGAGCTGTGTGGAGATTTCTGGACCTACTAAACATAGAGCTTCCATAGGATCCAGCAATCCCACTCCTAGGTATTTACCCAAAGGACACAGAAACATCAATTCCAAAGAGCACCTGCACCCCTATGTTTATAGCAGCACTGTTTACAATAGCTAAGCTCTGGAAACAGCCCAAATGCCCAAAAATAGATGACTGGATCAAGAAGATGGGGTCCATACACACCATGGAATATGACTCAGCATTCAAAAAAGATAAACACATGCAGTTTGCAGCAACATGGATGGCGCTGGAAGGGATCATGCTCAGCGAAATAAGCCAGAAAAAAAAAGAAAAATACCGGATGGTCTCACTCATAGCAGGAATCTAGAAAACCTAAATAAGGGACCAGGAAAATGAATAATTATAGAAAAGAAAATATCAAAATCAACAAACAACTATGAACCAGAGACACACTTGAGGGGTGGCGGGGAAAGGAAGGATTGGGGTCAAAATCAGGGGGTTGCAATTGTATGGGGAATATCAAAATAAAATAAATAAATTTAAAAAATTAAGTGGATTTTGTGAATTAAACTTGCCATTTCTTTACTCCGTGGCTTACGTGAGCTGCACCACCACGCGTCACGGCCGCGGTGACACCTCCCGGGGCCACATCCCCTCCTAAAGGTCTCATGGGTGAGGATGGGGTTTGGTGGAGGGAGCGTGACGACGTCCAGGCTAAGTCAGCCCCGGGTGCCACCTGTCAGGCCTTCCGACCTCCAGCTGCCCCTGCTTGTTGAATGTGTTCGTTTTATTGGGTGTTTCTCTCCTGGAGACCCGCCGGCTGCTGCCTCCCCAGCTCTGGGGGTGGCGGTCCAGCAAGTGGGTGCTGCAGGGCTGGGGGCGGGGGTCCCTGCATCCTGACCCCCTTCTCTCTGGTCGGTGACGTGTCTGGAAGACCGTCCCTGTGCCTGCCGCCCGCATGGCTTTTACCTGGACCCACCTTCACACGTATTCTGTTCTCCTGACTGGCCAGTTTGCGGGGGTTCACTGCAGACCCCAGTTGGACACCAGGGCTTGCTGTGCATCTTACTGCTGGTGGTGGTAGTGGGGGCACCACTGGGGATTGGTGGGTGCAGGCAAGTGCAGGTGCTACCACCCTGCAGCAGCCCTTTGGAAATGGCCATGACAAAGACTGAGAAGGGAGGGGCTTGGTGGGGAGTGGATTGGGGTGCCTGGGAGTAGCTGAGCGTAGTCACCCCCAGGAGGGCCTTGCTGTGTAGACCACCCGTCCAATCCCGACAGCTGGCTTCTGGACACCAGGAGGCTCCTGGGCCTCGGGAGATCCCAGACGGCCTGTGGCTGGGGTGTCCAGGCGCCTGGGGTTCTGGGGCTGGGGTGGCCGTGTCTCCGGGTGCCCTGGGGGCAGGTCCTGCCCTGCGCGGGCGGCCCAGCCGGGGGCACGCGGTGCCAGGCTGAAGAGTAACACCCACCGAGCGAGAGGAACGTTTCCCAGGTCTCCGTCACAGCAGCGGGGAGACCAGCCCCTCTGTCCGCACCCCTGCTTCCTCCTGAGCCGCCGCTCCGGCTTCTTGCGTGATGCCTCAGCCACGCGCCTGAGGAGCCGGCCGCCCTCTCTTTTCCAGTCGTGTTGCTCCTGGCAGGGACGGTTTTTTCTCTAGATGGCAAAAATCCTTGGGGGCTTCTGCCTTGCACCCCTGCTGTCTGGTAGAAAACCCTCATGTGCACACACGCCGGTGCTTCTCAGCCGTCTCAAAGCCACCATGTTTCTCCGGCTCTTCCCCCAGGGCTCGGTCAGGTTCTGTGCGCGGAGCTGGGTGGGGACGGCTTCCTGGACACAGCCCAGGGCGTCAGCGCTCACGCGGGGCGCACCGAGGCAGTGACCTGGCTGCATCGGCCTGGACCCGACACCCTCACCCCAGTGCCAGGCACCCCACCCCTCTGCCCTCCACCCACCGAATGGCGCTTTCCCAGCACTAGTGCAGACAACTCAGCAGAGCGTGATGCGCGGTGGTCACGGAGGTGATTGAAAACAGCAGTGCCCGGGCCTCTGGGTGAGGGAACTGGAAACCTGCATTTTGGATCGGCTTAGAAATGCTTGACGCGGAAGTGCTACCGAGACGGCGCTTCCAGAAGCACTGGAAGAAGAGACGGAATCGTTCAGGGGTAGCGCCGCCTGGTGTTTATTTACGTGGACTCGTAAATGCAAAAAGCGTGTCCGGTGGGGCCCTTGATTACGGCTGGAGCAGGTGGTGTGCCCAGGTACACACTCCTCCCTTGGGGACCTGACCCTGTGTGCTCCCCTCCGCAGGGAAGACGCTTCACGGAAAGCGGCCCGTGCACAGCTGCCCCGGCAAACTAGCCCGTCGGGGACACCGAGCGGCTGCTCCGGAGGGTCGGGGCTGGTGCGGGTGCTGCTGGCCAGTGTTTGGACTTTGCGTGGTCTCTAGTCGCTCAAGCCGACAGCACTTCAGTGTCTCCTCCTTGTCCAGAGCTAGTTCTGGAAACACCAGCCGCCTTCACAGCTGGTGTTTATGTATTTGTGTGTTGACTCACCTGAATCCCCAAAACCCCTAAGAAGTCCTTCCCTTCAGCCTCTCCTGACCCTGCAGATCAGAATCTCTTGCTGGACCCTTTAGAGCTTTCATGGGGAGCCCCTGAAGCTCCCCGCTCTGGTTCTGGACTCCCCCCGAGGTCACCTGCCTCCCGCGAGGCTGCTCCCACCTCCCCCGTCCCGCGTGGCTTCCTCGATTCACCTTTATTAAATAACTTCGCTGGCTTGTGGTGGAGATGAGGAAAACCCAAGTCTTCTCCATGCCGTGACTCAAATCTGGCTTTTTTGTTCTCCCCAAGGATGGGAAGAAGAAATTTGACAAGGAGAGTGAAAAATACTACTCCATTCTCGACAAGCATTTAAATTTGTCCGCAAAGAAAAAGGAGTCGCATTTGCAAGAGGTAAGTTTTCCGGCTGGAAGGCGGAGCGGGCCTTCCGCCTGCGAGGTGGCGCTGCCTCGGGATCCCACGGCTTGGGTCAGGCAGCTTCCTGGGGCACCTGTGCGCGCACGTGCCAGCCGTGCCTGCGCGCCTGGAGAGCAGGGCAGGCCTCTCCTCCTCGCTGGGAGTGTTGTCCACGGCAGGAAGCTCCAGAGTCCCTCTGATGTGATGGCGCATAGTTGACTGTTACTAGATCGTGACATATTTTACATTAAACATGAAATGTACAATCGTTTCAGCAGCAGCTGCATAATTTTATAACTAGTCGTCTTTCCTCCTGTCTTTCTAGAAGGTTCTGCCACGACCAGAACATGGTGTGTGTGTTCCGTGGCTTCACTTATTCTCTCTGCTCCTTCCCTTCGGCTTTGGTAAACCACAGCCGGGAGGGCGCAAAGCAATGTGCTCCTTGTTTCGTTTATTTGATGCTCAGTGAAGAAAGGCGTCCCCGTCGTTTGGGGGTGCAGGGCGGACAGGCGGACCCCGAGGTCCGCCTCCGCTAAGAGCTTTAGGAAAAAGACAGCCTGTTGCTCAGGCTCTGCCCGCCAGCGGAGCGGTGTTGTGGCTAAAGTGAAGTGGAGCCCAGTGTTTGTTTATGGAAAAGGGGGCTGCAGCTTTGCTTCTCCCGGGTGCAGTGCTGTCACCGTGTCACGTCCCAGCTCCCCGCGCCTCAGAGGCGCTGGCTGCTCTTCAAGCGCTGCCTGGAATAACCCTCCGGGAGGGTGCGGGGTGAGGCCAGGGCTCCTGGGGCAAGCCCCGCACTGCGGTGTGAGGCCTCCTGTGTCCAGCAGCGCCAGGCCCTCTCGATGCCCCTCCCGTTGGGCGAGTTGAGTCTCCAGAGGGAGCTTGAGCCGGCAGGGGAGCACGCCGGACGAGGCGCCCTGCCTCACAGGGCACGGTGTCCCAGGTGCATAGTCCTGGCCCAGGGCACCCCGGCCATACGCTTCACTTGCCCTGCTGCCAGCTGGCGCGGAGTCCAGGCGTACTCATGTCCCTGCACCCCGCTGCGGGCAGGGCGCCCCTTCTGGCTCTGCGTTGGGCTGTAAAAACCTGAAACATGGTAACATCCTGCACGTGCCCACACTCACGCACGCTTATCCACACACGCATGCACACACACACACACACACACACACACACACACCCCTATTCCAGGAGCCACAGCTCACAGCACAGCACACATAGTGGCCCCTCAGAGCAGAAGAAGGAACGCGTGACGGGTCCTTTCTCACCACCCTCCTAGGAACCCCACCCCTGGCAGGGAGCTGCCCCCACACAGCAGCTCCGTGACGAGACACTGACCCGTCCTTCCTGCCCCTGCAGCCCTGGCAGCACCTGCACAGCCGCTCCTCGCTCGCTGCTCGTGGGAAGGACGAGGCCGCCCTTACAGGGACGGAATTGGGGTCAGTTTATGCTGCCAAAGCTCAGGGAGTCAGCTAGCTGGAGACTCACTTTCGGGGTGACAGGCTCTACGGTAGATGGGGAGAGGCGGCTGATTGATATGTGAGGGCCCATCTCTGCCTGAGCATAAAACAGAAGGACAGGATCACACAGGAGGTGCAGGAAGCCGGCGCGCATGAGAATCATCGATTTCAAAAGACATTAACTCCAATTAAAAGGTGCGAAGTGTTAGGGAATTTATATAAACTATGACACGGGATTAGCATTTCCTACATACAAGGTGAGCTCAGTGGGAAAAGATAAAGGCGTCCGTGGAAAAACGTGCCAGGAAGGCCTCCCGTCAGAGAAGAAATAGACCATAATGGATTTTCTAAGTTTCAAAGTCACAGTCGTTTAAAAACAATGGAAATCAATAATAGCAACGGGATGCCACTTTAATTTATTGAAAGATAAGAATCCGGCCTTGGCGAGGGTGTGGGACACTCAGCGTTCCTTGGCATTCCTGGCAAAGGGCAGATCATTCTGAAAGTACATTTGCCACATCCTAACAAGCCTTATGTGCAAGACGGTTGAAGTGACTTGCGTTGGCAGGAGTTTACCCAAAAGAAATCATTAGACATGAGCCTGGAAATAAATTGCATGAACGTGTAGACCCAAGAGTTATCCACCATGCAGGAGGTTAGAGATAAAGATTTATTTCTTTATGCATACAAGAGCTGGGGTGCAGGCCAGAGGTGTGGGGTTGAGAGGACTCACCAGAGACAGAGTAGGTTGCTGAACGGGCGAATCTACTGAAACCCACTGCTGAGGGGAGCAGCGGGGAGACAGGAGAGGTCTGCTGCGCCATGTGGGTAGCTCCCTGGTTGGCTGGGGATCGAACTCGTGCTGCAGTGGCTGCAGGTAGCTCTATAGGTTGTGTCTTAACCCCTTGCGCCCCCGAGGAGGCCCCGAGAGTTGTTTTAAAGTAAGACTGTGTGCGTCTCCCACATCAAAATGGTAAGGGTAGGATCGCAACTATCTTGGTGTTTCTTTGGCACGTTGATGAGTAAACTCACAGCGATCCGCATGTGCTACTTTTACAATTAGAAAGAAAGTGAAGGGGAAAAGAATTTCCTTTGGAAACTCCGATGTTGGTTTCCCAGTGAGGAGTGGCGAGGACACGCCCCCTCTGCTGCGGGACAGAGCTGATCTGCGTCAGATGTGTCGGGGAAATGAACGGCTTTGACTACATGTATATGGCGACTCCACATGGATGTAAACTCTAAAGTAAACGGGGTGTTGGTGGGCCCGGGGCTCCAGGAGAGCGAGGGGCTCCCCTGACCGCCGCCTGGGCTGGGAGCTGGCCACACGCGCCGGCCCGGCCCCTTCCTGTCTGTTCCGGGGCGCCGAGGCCGCGGTGGGTGGACACCAGCAGGAGGCGCAGGCCGTGAGGGTGTCGGGGCTGGGGCCGTCTGTCCCCGGGAGCCTCGGCCAGCGATGACGTGTCCTCTTTGCTCTTAAGGCAGATACGCAGATTGACCGAGAACATCAGAACTTCTATGAAGCATCCCTCGAATATGTCTTCAAAATTCAAGAGGTTCAAGAGAAAAAGAAGTTTGAGTTCGTGGAGCCGGTGAGTGTTAGTTTCCCTGATAAGAGCGGGGCCAAGGCGTCCTCTGAAGGGACAGGCAGTGTGTTCCTGATGGCTGTTCAGAAGCAAAGGGGGGGACCCGGGGCACCTCAGGGCAGTGAGGTCCCCCCAGGCCCCTGGGGCCGGGCTGCGGGTCACCATGCACATGTGTGGGCCCCGCGGGAGCGCCCTGGACCCTGGGCTGCCTGACCCGGGTCATTGCTGGCCTGGTTGTGGCACCGGCCGCGCTAAGGCCAGAGGTGTCAGGAGGGATGGGGGTGGACAAGGTACGTGGGGAGACTAAGATCTGCCTGGTTTTTCAGGTTGTCCTTTAAGTCGCCTTAATTTACTATCACAGACTCTGCGCAAGATAAAATGTACGTGTGCGCGTAGGCCCCAAACCTAAGCCATGTTTTCACTTTGCTGCCCTCCCGAGACGTGACCCGCACGCGCCTCCCCAAAAGCTGCCTCGAAAGCCCGTGTGAGAAGAAGGGAAAAGGGGGGGCTCTTTGAAGTGTGTGGTTTTTCTGTTCCGGAGACTTGCACGCCCCTGGCGGGCGCTCAGCGCACACTGTGAGATTAAAACATTTATCTTCCACTAAGTGAGTCTGGATTCTGCTGTATAGATTTATTTATTTACATGGGCCTTGGGAACTGGATGTTTTATAGGGAGATTTATTGCAGGTATTCTTAAAGTCTCCTTTTCATAACGCTTAATTAAATTCTTTGTACTTAGGATGATATGAGAACAGCATCTTCCTCCAGTGGCACTGAGCGCACAATTAGACACTTTAATTGGGGACTAATGATAGACATTAAAACATGACACAGTGCTCCAAAGAACTTCAGGGGCGCTTGTTCGACTATTCAGAAGACTCGCGCTGTCTGTAAACTTCAAAGTGTTTTCTTAGTTTGTCTCTGAAAAGCTCTGGAGCTTCATGTTCAAGCCTGGCCATGCAATGTCAATTGAAGATATTTTTAAATTGATATTAGTCCCGTCTCCAGTCTTTTCTGGCTTCATTATAGGAGCAGATCAAATTGGAGGGCCCGTCCGTGGAGTAAGACCTCAGCAAGTAAAGAATTTTGTGTCAGTTATTTTTAGTTGTAGCTTATTTCATATCAAAAACTGCCCAATAGCTTTACTTTATAGTAAGAACATAACAAATTGTATGTGAATTGGGGACGCATATAAATTGGGGTGTTTTAAAGATTTTACTGGTTTATTTATTTTTTTTTAAAGATTTATTTATTTATTTATACAAGCACTGGGTACAGTCAGAAGCGCGGGAGGGTGAGAGAATTCACCAGAGCCAGAGCAGGATGCAGAACAGGCAGAAGGACCGAAGTCCACTGCTGAGGGGAGCAGCGGGCGGCAGGAGGGGTCTGCGCGCCATGTGGGACCCTCGCCGGTGGCCGGGAATCGAACCGGCGCTGCAGAGGCTGCGGGCAGCTTTGCAAGCCATCGCTTAACTGCTGCGCCACCGGGGAGGCCCAAGATTTTACTGGTTTATACGAAAGATCTGCATCTAGCTTCGGGTTTTGCTCTCAATCTTCCTGGTTTTGTCCCCTCCAGCCCTTGCTAGAAGGATGCCTGTCATTCCCGGATCAGCGCTGCCACCTTCTGGCACTCTCAATTTCCTTTGGCTGAATCTTCTCTCTCAGCCAGATGATGCTCAAGAGAAGCCGAGACTCAGGCCGAGCTCAGAATTTTCTACTCAAACTTCCTTTTTTTTTCACAAACTGATTTGCAAGCGGGCCTGACTTCAGACATCTCAGTAGGCCGGCCTCGGCTGTTTATAGAGGCAGGGAGAGTCATTCCTGGCATTATGACTTTATAAATTTAATCTTCCAGTAGCATCTGGACCATCGTTCACTTCTTGTCTGGCGATAATGACATCATTAAAAAATGTACCAAAACCCTTTTTGCTTCTCTCTGTGCCGTTTGGAACATACGTGAATAAACTGAGCACCACTTGAAAAAAAATCTCTCGAGCGCTTTGATCTGGGATTTACTGTGCCCGGCTTAGCGTCTGTGGTGACGAGGAACTCTACGAGGGCAGGACCTGGTCACTTGGGCCTTTATCCCCGCGAGTGATCTCTCCTGCACGTGTCTCTGAATGTCAGGGTAGGTGATAGCGCAGCTGCCCACGCCAGGACTCGAAAATTAAATCACTGCGGAGGACTGTCCCCCTGTGGGGTTTCGGTTTCACCCCCAGAACGCTGGTGCTTCTGGGCCTCACAAAGCCATCGAAACTGCAGCAGTTTGTAGAATTAGAATGTGGTAATTTCCCCAATTAATGGACATGACCCTTGCTCATGGCCTCTGTCTTTGCTTTTGCAGCTGCTGTCATTCCTGCAGGGACTCTTTACTTTCTACCACGAAGGCTATGAGCTCGCCCAGGAGTTCGCACCCTACAAGCAGCAGCTGCAGTTCAACCTGCAAAACGTAAGGCTGCACCCGTCCCCCTGTCTCTCCTCCGCGACTCGTAGGGCCCTGGGGCCTGGGCTGTGGCCAGGACGCGCGTGGTGCTTTCAGCCCCAGGCCGGCGGCGGACAGGCTCGCTCATTTTGAGAAAAGCCATTTCAGAGACGTATTTAAAAGTCTCTTCTAGCAGCTGGTTGAAGGGACACGGGAAGGAGCTAATCGTACCCTCAGACCGTGTAGCCAGCTTCATGCAGGATCCCTGCGCTGGAGCCAGCGCTGAGACCTCGCCCTTGCTGCAGCTCCCCTGCCCCGCGGGCCGGCCTCGAGCCGTCCGTGTCCATGCCGGGGCTGACCCGGTGGAGGCCAAGGCCCCGCACATCGCGTCTGGTGTTTCCTTTGAAATAAGACATTTAAACGTGGTGTGGAAGCATCCGGAGTGACTCTTCAGCGATCGTCGGCCACAAACATCGGTTCTGTCAGGCTTGGCTTGTGGAGCTGATTCAGCAGTGCCTGGACTCTCGCGTGCCCAGGCCACTGTGCAGGGCAGGCACCATGCCCACGACGGTCTTCTAAATTATAGGAGGTTTCATTTGTATTTCTCACAGATATCACATATATTCTAATACATGAATTACAAAGACAACGCGGCCGGTCGCTTTCCGCCGGGTCCCGCGGGCGGGTCGTGCGGCCTTGGCTGGGAGGTCTGTCTGTAAATGAACGTGTTACCTGCTGAGCGCTCTCCAGAGTAGCAGCTTTGTCTTCTCAAAGCTTGTCCGGCGCTTACCTGCCTGGTGGTACAGGGGGTGTTTGTATGTGGAGCTCTGCGGTTGGAGAATCCCCGGAGAAATGCAATTCATTGGATTTTTTTCTCCGTGTGTTTTGAGTTTGAGCTTTGTGCTTAGCCTCGAGTCCCTGGCAGAATCGATTTCACATGCAGCCGGGCCATTGCTTTTCAATGTGGAGTGCAGCTGGGCTTTTTCAGGAAATATTAACAGGAAATTTACAAGAGCCAAAATATTTTTATGATTTATTTCCATATGAAATGCAATTATGTTAAGATTCCTAGGACTTAGGAGAGAGGAGTAAAATCAGAAAAAGTTGTGGTAGTCGTGTTTAAAAGGGAAAATTTAGCAAAAGTGGCCATTGGAAAGATTTTCCTAACCGACTCTGAGACCACAAAAGATCTGCGTCTTTTGTGTCTGGCCTCTGAGAAGATCTTAGCGTGAGGGGTGGGGTGAGTTGTCTGTTTCCAAACATGTCGCTGAGATGATGTGGCCTGAATGCAAATGAAAATTTCCTAGGGAACAACCTCAGGTTTCCACGTCTTTACCTGCTATAAACTCACTGTCAGGTGAGTCAATTTTTTTTTTTTTTTAAATATTCACTTTTTTTTTAAAGACTTATTTATTCATGCATACAAGAGCTGGGGTACAGGCCAGAGATGCAGGGGGGTGAGAGGATTCACCAGAGACAGAGTGGGGAGCAGAACAGGCAGATCTACTGAAATCCACTGCCGAGGGGAGCAGCGGGGAGACAGGAGAGGTCTGCTGCGCCATGTGGGTAGCTCCCTGGCCGGCTGGGGATCAAACTCATGCTGCAGAGGCTGCGGACAGCTTCATAGTTTGCGTCTTAACCCCTTGTGCCACCAGGGAGGCCCTCAACTCCTTTTTGCTATAGAAGAAGTTAGAACGCGGGGCCTGTTCATTTTTCTCACTGTCACACTCACCCCTTGGTTCTGTTAGGATTTCTGGAATCCAAGCTTCAAAAAGTGCTTGGAATGAGGGTAAGGAGTGTTTTTTATTTGTGCCACAGGAAGAAAAGCGTGTGAATAATTTGTTTTGATTCCCCAAAGAACTACAGGCCCTGTGCTTTTTTGACCTTAGTGAGGAATATTAAATTCGATTGAACTCTATGTATTTCGTGAAATGCCGTCTTCTGCCACCGGAATTGTATTCCTTGGGGAGCAGATGGGCTCAGGGGTGTCCCCGAGGCAGCCCGAGACCCTTGGGCCCACTGGGGTCGCGGCAGGTGCACCCGCAGAAGGTGCCCCGCACGGTGGACACGCCCTGGGGGGCTGGGGGGGGGCTCTGGGTGAATGAGGCTTCTCTCCACCGCAGACGAGGAATAATTTTGAAAGCACGCGGCAGGAGGTGGAGCGGCTCATGCAGCGCATGAAGGCGGCCAACCCTGACTACCGGCCGCCCAGCCAGTGGACCATGGAGGGCTACCTGTACGTCCAGGAGCGACGTGAGTACGCGGGCGGGCCAGCGGGGCCAGGGGCGTCCATGCAGGGGGAGGCCCAGCCTCCCGGGCTCGCTGGTGCCGGCTGCTCCCCGCACCCCCAGGGCAGCTCGGCCGTCGGGGCCCGCAGTCCGTGGAGAGCCGGGCCGGCAGTGCGCGCTCAGTTTCAGGGTCACCTGTGACGCGGGAGCCACCTCAGGTGGGGCGTGCCTGCGCCCCTGTGCTGTGCGTCCTGAGGCTCCTCTGAGCTCCGGGAGCAGCGTGAGGCCAGCCGTGCCCCCAAAACTAGGAAGGGCCCCCCAACTTGTTGAGGATGGAGCTCTCCACACTGTCCTTGTCGTGGAGGGGGCCGGTTGGACTCCGATAATGGTCCCGCCCAACGCGCCCCCAGCGCATCCCGTCGAGGGGCCCCCAGTGGCCGCGCCCTGGCGGGTCTGGGGGACGCACAGCGCCTGCCGCGGCCGCGGTCTCCAGGGCCTGATGCTGCTGCGGGGCGCCCAGCGCCCATGTGACCTGATGTCAGGGCTCGAGGCAGGAGGGGGCAGTGGGCTTGCCTGGTCCGAGACCCCGCCCGAGGGTGCTGGCAGGAGCTCCCCTGGAGACCCGGGCTGGGGGCCTTCTCACGCGAGGAGCCCCACCTCCCCGCCTGCAGGTGTCCTTGGAAGGACAGGTGCTGCCCCGGCCGGTCACTGGGATCAGGCCCGGGGGAAGCTGCAGGGCCGTGGCTGTTGGACTCAGGTGATGAGGGAGGAGTCGGCACCCGGGGCCTGACAGTATTGGGGTCCCCAGGGCCCCAGGCAGGCTGCGGCGCGGGGGCCACTGCTGGCGAGGCTGCTCAAGCTGGGGATCCTCCAGCCTGGAGACTGTTGTATTCACTGTAACTCAGAAATATTTCCCTTCCTGGGTCTTTTCCCCCATAGTGCTGCACAGCTACTAAATTTTTATGGGTCTACGGTGTGTTGCAACAAGGAGGTTTGATCTTGCGGAGTCTTTACATCCGTCATCTTTAGGCTCGGGGTCCAGTGCTCCCCGGCGGCCCAGCCCGCGGACGGCCCGGGTTTGCCAAGCGTGTCCCAGCTCTGGTGCATTTGGGGCAATGTCCAAGCCCGGGGCCTCCGATCACTTGGTGGGGGGCGTGTGGGGGCAACCGTGGGGCGCTGTGGGCCCCTATCTGGTGCTGGTGCCTTTTGTCCTAATGGACCTGACTTCTGCGGCTCAGTCTGCACGGACCATAAAGCCCTGGTGCTGCGGGCCCTGCCGCGCCCCCCTCCCTAAGCGCCCCCTCCCCCACTCTCCAGGCTGTAACCCCAGCAAGCCCCGCTGGGCCCGCTTGTCTCCTGGCTCACACTGAGCCCACCCGCTCTGTGCAGCGGTCACTGCTTATTTTCTGCTTTCCTGTCGCCGGGCTCCCCACCCAAGCTGCCGCCCGTGGGCAGATGTCATCCCCTTCCCCGCGTCTGCCTGCCCGGCTCCCAGGCCTCGGCCAGGCGTGTCAGCGATGGCACGTGTGCAAGATGCACAGCTGGGGGGCTGTCGGGCGTGCACCTGCTAGCCCCAGACAGCCCCGCCTCCCACCTCTGTCCTCCCGCGCCCTGTCTGCACCTTCCCCGGGCCTGGGGAGTTTTGTGTGTGTGCTTGGGCTCTTTAATTGGATTATAAAGCTTAATTGGAAATTTTGTTTTAATTTTATATATTTTTTACATCAGTCTTCATTTTTGCACAATGCATGCATTTTCATCTTGGCCGTAGTCCCCATACAATCCCCACCCCCCTTGTTTTGATCCTACTCCCTCCCCCCCAGCCCGTAGCGTGTCTCTGGATTATAGCTAAAACTCAGAGGATTCTAGCCCTGTGGAGTTACTTTACACGGGGGCCGCTGTCACAGCCCTTTCTGCTGCCGTCATTTAAAAGCCTCGGTAGGACCACCCGCCCCGCCCCCTGCGGCGTAGCGCGGCGCTCGGGCTGCACCGAGCGGGCACGTCCCTGAGAAGCTGCAGATGAGATCTAGGCTGCGGCCCCAGGCTTGATCCGTTGTGGAGGCAGGAGAGAGGCCACGCAGTTAGCGACCAGCGATGGCGTCTGTGGGCACGGTGGTGGGTGCAGGTGGCCTGTCCAGGCAGGAGCCCACGGCTCGGCCCCCGGTCAGGGATGGACTTTCCACGGGACTCGCCTGGACGACACTGAGACTCCAGTCAACCCAGGGAGCCCGGCCCCGGGGGAGACATTTTTGGGGGGAGACAGTTTACGGGGGATCCTGCTAACAGGCTGGCGTCCACAGCCCCCGGGGACGGCGTTGCAGGAATGGGAGGGCCGGGACCTGTGTGAAATGCCTCGACCAGCAGCAGCTCCAGCTGCCCTGCTTTCCTGGCAACTCCCTGTTTGCACAAGTCTCGTCTCTTAACTCTTCCAACATCTCTTGAGAGTTGTCCCTCTAAGAGCCGCCCCGCCCACGCCCGGCGCTGCCCGCTGCAGCCCAGCGCCTGTCTTCCACGTAAAAATGCTCTTTATAATGCCTCACTCGGAAACCCCTCGATGAAATGTTGGCACTTAGTAGGAATTCCGAAAATGTTCATTTCCTCCCGTTCTGCAAACATCCTCTCAGCAGCCTCCGCTGGTTTCTGGGGAAGACCAATAAACTTGCTTTATTTTGCAACTTTAGAGCTGCAATAAATTTTGCTTTTCCCAGCGTTTGCCTCGGGACTCCCGAAGCGCTTGCCTGAGGACGTCTGCCCTGGCCCCGTGCCCGGCACTTTAGAGGAAGCATCACGGGCGGGCGGCGGCCGTGGCGGTCAGAGGCAGGAGGCCCCGCAGCGAGGGGGGCAGGCGAAGGCATCGTGGGGCTGGAATGTCATCGGAGCATCCGGCAGCTTTATTTGAAAATGTTTGCTAGCATTGCTTTCTCAATGGCTGCCGGAGTAATAAAGCCGCTGCCAGGATTTCATCCGGCCACTTCCCGTTCCTCAGCTCCGCGTCCTAAAGCACGTCACGCCGTGCGGGAGGGCATCACCGGCGCGCGCCGGGCGACAGGACAGCGGAGGGCCCCGGGTGCCCTGAAGTCAAGGCAGCAAAGCTTGGCAGTGCCAAAGATGTAGGTGTCCCCCAGGACTGTGGTGGGGGTGCTGTTGGAGCTGGGTGTCACACCAGGGGAGCCGTTGCTCCAGAGAATAACGTGGACGGTTCGTGCAATGCTGGGCTCCAGGCCCGCATCCACGCTCAGCGCCCGGCTTCTCGGTACGTGGTGCTGAGCCAGGCGCAGTCACGGCGCGCACGGCTGTTGCTGGGGGTTGGGGTGTTCGGCAGGTGGGACCCCCAAGGAGAGAGAACCAGCCCCATCTTCAACCCTCTCCGCACCTGGGTGCAGGCTCGGTGGCTCCCCTGGGGGAACCGAAGGTCTCTGCCGGGCCCAGGGTCCCGAACTCCCGCCACAGCCCAGCCCCGGGCTGCCTGGACAGGAGCGTGTGCCGGAGGGCGCGGCATGGGGGAAGGCGAGCGTTCCTCGCATTTCTTCTGCCTTCGATGGTGGAAATTTTCCCATTTTAAGGAGTGATTTTGATCACTTTTCTGCCGAGCAGAGCTCAGAGGAGATCACTGCAGAGCCTTAGAGGAAAATGAGCGGCTCCTTCCGTCCTTCATCCCTCACACACGTGTCGCCAGCTGCGAACAGCTGAGCGTTGCGCTCGCACTGGTCGGCCGTCGAGCGCGGGTCAGGGTCCTGCCTCTCGCGGCCTTGGCGCCTGCGGTGCGCTCGACGTGCACTGAGCGGGGTGAGGGGTGCAATACACCGTGTTTGAGAGCGTGGTGACTGCAAAGCATAGGAGATCCAGGTGAGGGGGCGGCGATGCGAGGCTTGCGCTCGGGAGAGGCACGTTGCAAAGGTAACGTTGAGGGAAGCACCTGAAGGAAGCGTCACGGGGCATATGGTCATCTCTGAAGGCGGGGGGGGGGGGGGGGTGACAAGTGCAAATGCCCTGCGGCGCAGACACAGTCCCGCCGCTCAGGACCCAGGACCGGGAGGGCCATGCAGGGCTGCTGTGCGTTCGAGGCAGAAGGCAGTAGGATGTGAAGTGGGAGAGGGAACAGGGCCGTGGGGGTGGCAGGTGCATGGGCTTTCGCCCCGCGGGATGTGGGAGCCGCCGCAGGGGCTTGAACGGGGTGACCTGATCTGGCTAAACCGCGTGGAGGGCATCTCCAGCAGGGCAAGAAGAGCCGTGAGGAAGTGCGCCGCGTTACACGCCCCTTAGTTCAAGCCAGATCGGAAGGGATTCTCGATTTTGCAGAGCGTGTGTTGAGGTTGCAACGCAGCCTGTCGTTTGCTCCCGATGCTCGCCTGTGCCCCCTCCTCCTGCACCCCTCCCCCTGCACCTCCTCCCCGTCTCGCGGCAGACCCTCAGCCCGCGGGCGCCAAGACAGAGCGGCGGTGTCAAAGCGCAGCAGCCGCGGGGCCAGCGCCCCACAGCCCCCCGCTAACAGCCCCTGTGCTGTCTCTTCTCTGCGTCAGGGCCGCTCGGCTTCACGTGGATCAAGCACTACTGCACGTATGACAAAGGAAGTAAAACCTTCACCATGAGTGTTTCAGAAATGAAATCAAGCGGGAAAATGGTGAGTTATTTGGGGGGACGTTTATTTATTCTGAGGTCGCACGGCATCGCCCCATCCTACTAGTTTCAGGTGTTGACTGTGAAAATGCCATGCCAAGGTCACCACCAAAATCGCCGCTTAAGTGGAGCTTGTTTACTGAAAGGAAACCGAAAAAATCACGAGCTTCCTTTTCCCATAAACGTGCACAACTCTGAAAAATTGAAAAGTTGCCCTGCGTGACCTCGGTGACTTGCAGGACTCGCCAGGGTCGCCCTCCACCTTGGCCGGGGGTTGGAGCGGGTGAGTCAGGTGTAGGGGCCTCGCCTGGGACGACTGGCCGCGGGGACGTGGGTGGCTGTCCTGGGCCAGCAGCCCCAGCGGTCAGGGGTCTCGCCCCTGCACAGGGGGCCTCTGGAGCCCGCCCCCCCGCGCTGCTGCCCCGTCAGCATCAGTCCCTGTGGCTGAAAAGCTGACCAGTGGTTTCTCAGAAGGCGCGCGTCCGCTGAGCGCCTCTGGTCGCTGACCGTCTTGCGTGGCCGGTGACCAGGATGCATTGAAGTGGGAGGCGCGGCCGTCCGAACACCTCCTGTGCAGGGGGTGGTGCTTTTACACAACGTGACTGCGGCACATGGTTGAACTTATGGGTTAAGTAATTTGGGCCGTCGCCGAAGATCCCCCGAGCTGGGAGCACCTGAAGCCGGGTTGGCCCGCCCCTCCCTTAACAGACCAGACGGTAACCGGGCAGCGGCGGCCTCCCAGGCGCGTCCTCACACGGGCGTTGGCTGTCCCCGTGCTGGGCGTCCTCCAGCATCCCGTCAGAGGGAGACACGCAGGACCCTCCGAGACGGAGCAACCGCTGTGTCTCTGCTCGGGATTCCCTACAGACACCCACACTCAGCTCCGGGACAGTCTGAGCCGACGGCAGACGGATCTGAATAATCTATGAGATTTGCAACTGACGAGAAGCGAATTGGCCAGACAGTAGATCAATGCAGACCCTTAAGGTCGACGGCCTTCGATACAGAAGCGTGTCCTGTGGCCTGAGCCCGGGGTGGGCACCCCCAGACAGCTCTAGTCCTAGTAGCAGAACAGCAGCTGGGGGCCAGCCAAACAGGGGTTGAGTGGGGGGTGCGGGGGGTGCAGAATCCCAGCAGGTAGACACGGCGTGGGTGGCTCTGGCGGGTCGCTGGAGACCTGGAGGCAGGTGTCACGCCTACCGAGTGACTGATACGGGGACCGCAGGCACATCACAGCAGGCGACTCCATGGGTTTATGTGATTGTTTCATAAACAGCTTGAGGTGTTGACAACTGAGCAGTGACGGTTGGGGGGCCTCTGTTCACCGGGCGGGAGCACCCCCTCTGCGAGTGCCCGGGACCCAAGCTCTGGGGGAGGCTGGGGGTCCGCTCAGCTCACCTGGTCGTCACAGCCGTAGTCCGTCCCCTTCTCGTTGCAGAACGGCCTGGTCACGAGCTCCCCAGAAATGTTTAAGTTGAAATCCTGCATCCGCCGAAAGACAGACTCGATTGACAAACGGTTCTGCTTCGACATAGAAGTCGTCGAAAGGTTTGAGCCTGGCTTTTCTCTTTTATCTGGTCTTGAGCTAAGTGATCTTTCCTCTTGTTCGATTCACATAGGGAAGCCTGTGCGAGCGCCTGCCCTCGTTCCTGTAAAAGCTTCTATTCTCACACACTTTTCCCTCAGGAGTATTTAGCACGTGGTGTTTTCAGAAATAACTGGGTGCACAGTGCTAAAAAGCAAATTCAAAGAGGAATCTGGGGATACCCAATATGGAGGTGCTGCGTTAGGGGTGTCTCGGCACAGGGCCCACTGCCGGAGGAGCAGGTGTGTGGCCGTGGCCTCTTCGGCCTTCAGGGGCTCGGGAGCCGGACGGCCTGGCTCCGCAGCTAGCACGTTTATCAGCTGGAGGGATCAGCTCTTGCCTTTGATTGTATTTTACATCAGGTGGAATCACGTTCTCAGGTTCCACCCTGCAGTCCGCGTGGGACGGTGTGAAAAGGTCGTGTCTGCACCTCTGCCCTGTCCCGTGACCCACTGTCCACCCACATCACTGCCAGGCTTCCCTGAGTAGGCCCTGTGTGTGTGCGCGTGTGTGTGTGCATGTGTGTGTGTGACAGGTACGGAAACTGTACCTCAGGGCGGAGCCCCTGTCCTTTGGGATCTGTAGCTGGCGTCGCATCCAAGTTATCAGTTGATGGGGAGTTGACCTGCCTTTGAAGATTTTATGTATCTTTTCCTTTAGATTTATTTTTGGGTGCCTGCTCTTTATAAGGTCTTTGAATAGAGCCGTTGTCACCTGTAGAGGTTTGTCACCTGTAGAGGTTCTCCGGAGCGCGCTGCGTGCTCCATGGAAAGGCTGTTGGTGCGCGTGTCGGTCTGTGGCCGGCGCGCCTGGCAGGAGCCTGTCTAAAGCATGACGCCTTCCGCACAGGCACGGCATCATCACGCTGCAGGCCTTCTCGGAAGCCAACCGCAAGCTCTGGCTGGAAGCCATGGACGGGAAGGAGCCGGTAAGAGGGGGCGCTGCGGGACGCGGCTCCCGTGCTCTGATCGCTGCTCGCCTCCGACTGCGTTTGCATGTTTGAGCAGGAGTGACGGTCCCGCAGTAGCCGATCTGGGAGGCTGTGCTGTTGTCCCGGGGTTCGCTCCCCCGCTGGACGGGACACCGGCTCTCTCACACCCAGGGCTGCCCTAAGACCCTCAACTCGCTCAGCGATGCGCCGAGCTAGGCGGGCGGCAGCACACCCCACCTCTCTGCGGGGCGGTGCTGTGCTTCCTGAGGAGCCGGTGGCTGCGGCTAAGAGCCAGCCCTGGACTGTGCCCAGGCCCCCCCCCCGCCCCCGAGGTGCCCTCGCAGGCGGAGGCCGCCTGTGGCCTGACATCCTCCCTCCACCAGAGCCCTGGTTTTCCAGCCCTGACTTTGAGGCCGGCTTGGTCACTCGCCCACGTCGTCAGGAGGGCCCTGAATGCGCAGTCGGGGATCGGTCTGTCCTCAGGGGGGACGCGGCATGGAGCAGAGCCGGGGTGGGGGAGGTCCCCTCACAGCTGTGACCTCGAGTGAAGGACGTGGCTGACAGGGTGTGGCCCTGGGTGCTGAGGCCTCGCCCGACCGCCCGTGTTTAGTGCGAGGAGAGCGGGAGTCGCGGGGAGGGCGCCAGAGAACTCTGACAGCAGCTCGAGGGAGCCCCATTCCACGTGGTCCAAGACATCTGGATGCTGCTTTATTAATAATATTTTTAACTTCATTGTATTTTACAAAAATGTCAAGCAATGATAGGTTAAGAATCTAAAACAGAGCAGCCTGGCTCTTCACCCCAGATCAGAGGCCACCCTGACCCGAGGGGGCGCGAAGACGGCTCGGGGAGGCGGCGGGTTGGTGTGGGGTGGGCTGAGATCTGAGGACAGACGGCGAGCAGGTGCTCTGAGGAAGGAGCCGCCGGGGCGGGATTCACACGGCCCTTCCTGGAGGGCCAGCAGGCACCTTGCTGTGGTGGCGCGAGATGGGGAGGCGCAGATCTCGCCCGGGGCGGGCCGGGAGCCGGGCCGCGACCTGCCTGTGCACCCCCACTCGCCCCGAGCCCCCGCCTCTGTGCTGGCGGGGACCGCAAGTAACTGGGGACGCCTTTTGTTCTTTTTTAGATTTACACCCTCCCTGCCATTATCAGCAAGAAAGAAGAAAGTAAGTGGTTTTAATGATTCTTTTAAATTTCATTACGGTGGTCATTGTGACCACAAAGGGACTCGTGATCGGAAGAGCTCCCGCTGGGCACGCCACGGGGCCCAACCGTGGACGTGGTGACGGGCAGGCCTGAAATCGTCAGCGGAGGCGGCTCTGCAGGGCCGTGGTGTGTGGTGAGAGCCGGGGCGGGCCGGAGCTGCCGGCCCCTGGGCTGACTTCTGGCTCCGTGGTGTTCGCCTCACTAACGGGCACCTTGTGCCCGAAAGACCCGACGCTGCCGAGACTTAGTTTGATTTTTTTATGGCAGTGGCGGGCATCTGCGCCGATTTATTACACTAAAAACACGAGCCCTTCGCGCTGGTCTTAGAAGACCGTGCCGAGAACGTAAGGGTAAGGACACGCCCCGACACGGAGGGCGGGTGGGGAACCTGTTTCCCCTAAAATCCTTAGCATCACGGCACTTTCAGTAAACCCAGCCGTGTGTTGCCAGCACATGCTGAGTCTCCGCTTCTCACCGCCCTCTGCTTTCTGTGCCTCGTTTTTGGCATTTCGCCAGGTACTGTCTGAGCAGGTGGCGTGCACTTAGAGTAGTCGGTGTGTTTGTTTCGAGGGCTATTATCTGTCTCCTTCTAAAGCAATCTCAAGTTTCTTTAACTTGATTTACTTTCTTTCATGGTGCTTAAAATCATTCTTTTTTTTTTAAGATTTATTTACTTGTGATTTACTTATGCATACAAGAGCTGGGGTGCAGGCCAGAGGTGCAGGGGGTGAGAGGATTCACCAGAGGAGACAGAGCGGGGAGCAGAACAGGCAGACTGACTGAAACCCACTGCTGAGGGGAGCAGCGGGTGAGACAGGAGAGGGCTGCTGCGCCCTGTGGGTGCTCCCTGGCTGGCTGGGGATCGAACTCATGCTGCAGAGGTTGCGGACAGCTTCACAGATTGTGCTGTCAGCCCCGCAGGTTACATCTGTGCGGACCCGCTGGGTTTTTAATTACTAGGAAATTGAAGGTACAAGGACTTTCACTTTGTTAGCTGAATGGAAGACTCTTCTTGTGCTTTTCCCCATGGCTGTTTGAATTCTGTGGAGATTAATAGCTTTCGTGCTGCTAAACTGCCTTATAGAAACTTTATTTGGGTGTCAATTAAAGCGCTAGCCCTGAATAGCTTCCGGGGGGGAGGTGTCAACACTGAGCTTTTGATTGACTAAGTTCCTGAGCTTTCTTCCTCTGCCTCTACTCCTGAAGGCCAAGTACTGCTCTGCGTGATTCCACAGGGCTCCTGGGCCCTCCAGTTGTCCGTCCTGTCCCCGGGTACAGGGCTGGGTGGGAGAGGAGCCGACAGGAGGAGCTCCTGGGTGGGAGAGGAGCCGACAGGAGGAGCTCCTGGGTGGGAGAGGAGCCGACAGGAGGAGCTCCTGGGTGGGAGAGGAGCCGACAGGAGGAGCTCCTGCTAGCTGCTGAGCTCTGGACCTTGGAGAAGCCACGGAGGACAAGCAGGCCAGCCAGCAGGAGTGGCAAGTAGCCGTCCTCCGTGCACCGCTTGGCTGCCTGCTCTAGCCCCAGCCAGTGCCCATGCGGCAGCCTCTTCTCAAGGGCCGAGGGCTGTTCTCGCTCAGCCCCTGCCGCGGGGCACCCCGTCCTCCTCTTGATCACTCCACTCGCCGAGCCCTCCCAAGCGGGACGCTGGCTGCAGGGACCGGGGCTGCTTCTCTTCACCTTCCTTCAAGGACTGTGTCCGCCGCCCTCCCTGGGCCCCCCTGCATCAGTCTCCAAACCTACAGAGACGTCCCGAACACCTGGCGAAGGCAGGCCAGGGGCTTGCTGTTTCATAGGATGAGGCCTTCGGGGGATGTGCGCTGCACATACTTGGAATTATTTCAAATGTGGTACAAAATGCAATGGAAAAAACTGGGCTACTCTGAGAACCGAGTTAGAACCTGGCTCTAGTTCTTATGAAAAAAGGCAAGTGAAGCTGTCAGCAACCTCGGGCATCAGCTCAGCAAAGCGCTTTCCCCGCCTCCTAACATGGTTTTGAGAATCCCCTGGGGCCGGGTATGTGAAGAGCTTTTGGACACAGTAAGGGCTTGTTCCAGTGGCATTTGCTTCTGTCACTCTGGGAAAACACCTGTTACTCGGGACGGTACTGGGATCACTGTAACCACGACTCTTGTGAGATATTTGTAAGCGTGAGACTGAGGGGCACGCAGGGCCCCCAAACTATTAAGGGGTGCATGCTTGAAAAGGGCCCAGCCACCCACATGTACGAAAGCAAAGAGCAGAATCTTACTGTGAAAGATTTTTAATAGACGTGGTGTGCAGAGAGAGGGTGGAAAGGATTTTAGATTCCCAGGAAAACTCCAAAATCACCACCCCCCACCCCGCCCGCCGCCTTGGGCACACACCCAGCCAAGGGCTTGGCCTGATGTCGGGGCTGAGGCCTGAAAGCTGCCGCAAGTCTAGGGCACCTTCTGGTGGGGACCCTCCCAGACGCCCAGGGCTCAGGAGTGGCGCCTCTGAGGGTGTCTGTGCACCCTCCGTGCCCCGCTGGGGTGTCTGCACCTTGCTCCGCTCCCAGCTGCAGCTCCCTGCTCAGGACTCCATGAGTGACCCAGGAATAGCCTCAGTGCGGGCAGGGAAGCCGGTGCTCGTGGGGATCCCCCCCCACCCGTGCCCAGACACGTGTGACACTCCCAAGGGAGTCCATGTGCTGGGACAGCACCGGTGGGTGTGAGCCGCTGCCCGGATTGCATGGAGGTGGGGCTGCCTGGGGAGCCACCGGCAAGGGGGGAGCCGGGGCCCCGCAGTGACCGCCCGTCCCCCTGCAGTGTACCTGAACGAGGCCGGCTTCAACTTCGTGAGGAAATGCATCCACGCGGTGGAGACGAGAGGTAGGCGCGGCCACGCGGCCCCACGTGGGCCCAGGCGCAGAGGAGCGTGGTCGAGTATCAAGGTGTGAGCTGTCATAAAAGGCTACATTTTATTTGTTTCTGCCCCGCCCAGCTGCATTTTAAGCTTCAGTTTACCAAAAACTGTACTAGAAGCCTCTGTGAGAAACGATGTCTCCGCACGACCCCTCAGACTGCTGCGGGGCTGGTTATTCTCTGCCCCTCCGGTGCTCCCGGGCCGTGGGGGGGCGGCGGGCCGGTGTGAAGCCCCGCAGAGCCCCGCAGAGCCCCGCAGGGCACCCCGGGAGTGCGTGTCCGCGGGCGTCGGGCGGGCCTGCCGCAGGGAGAGAAAACCGGGGCCCGGGCGGGCCTCCGTCTGGGCTCGGCGTCCTGCCCTTGAAGCTGCTCACGCCGCTCTGCGCCTCTGCTCCCCGCAGGCATCACCATCTTAGGCCTGTACCGCATCGGGGGTGTGAACTCCAAGGTCCAGAAGCTCATGAACACCACGTTTTGTAAGTCTGGGGTGGAGCCGGCGCCTTCGCTCAGGGTCGTCTTCTCGCAAATGACCCAAACCCGGGTTCCGGGGAGATACAGGCCGCGCCTGTCCACAATAAAACGTTATTTTCGAATAACGTCTAAGCCCCGCGCTGTGTGGGTGCAGGAGCTGCCGCGGGGGGCGGCCCTCGGCGACGCCGGCAGCGCCTCTTGCTGTCTCGGTCTCGGTGGCTGGAGGGACGGGCGTGCGGCTGAGCGCGCCCCGGGACCGGCCTCTGCGCTCCGCCCATCCGCGGGGCGGGGTGACGACAGGACCCGCTCTCACAGGACGGGGGCACCCGTAGTGACACCCCCTGTGGGTGCAGCGGCCCCTGCACCTGCACCCAATTCAGGGAGCCAGAAGCCGGGGCCCGGCAGACCCTGCACGCCAGGGCCGAGCGCGCGTCAGCCCTCCGTGTGCCCCCCACGCCCCGAGGGACAGCGCGCTCGCGCACACCCACACCCACCTGTGTCCGAGCCCGGCACGCGAAGTGTGAGCGATGGTTTGAATTCCACGTTTGAACAGCTTTTTCTTCTTTCCAGCTCCCAAATCCCCTCCCGACATCGACATCGACATCGAGCTGTGGGACAACAAGACCATAACGAGCGGCCTGAAAAACTACCTCCGGTGAGGCGGCCCCCGATTCCCCCCACCCCGCCCCGCGCCCTCCCCCGGCCGTGTCAGGGCCCGGCCAGGCCTCCCCCGCGCGGCCCGCTCTGCGGCCGGCGTCCTGGCTTCTCGCGCATGTTACCAACGCCAGACCCGCGTCGTCCCACACGACGGCGGGGTTGTCGTGAGCTTTTGAGGAGTGAGTTGGAACGGAGACTCGTCTCCTTGACTCGTCCCCCTCTGGGGGAACTTCGGCCCCGGCCCCGGCCTCACACGCTGGAAACCTGCCTCCCGGCGCCTGGACAGGGTCGGGCTCCAGCGCTAGAGGCACCCGAGTCTCCCGCCGGCGGGCGCCCCTCCCGGGCCCTCTCCCGCGGGTCCAGGCCCTCGCCCGCCCTCACAGCGGTGCAGGCGCTCCGGGGAATGCGAAGACACTGTTGCTCTGACTGTTGCTCTGAACGCGCCCCGCTCTCCGCTGCAGGTGCCTGGCGGAACCGCTGATGACGTACAAGTTACACAAAGATTTCATCATCGCCGTCAGTAAGTGCCTTCCCCTGCACACGTCGTGGGCGCGGCCGCGCGTGCTGTGTCTCGGCGGGACGCGGTGTAGACCGGCCGAGGTCTCCGTCTCCACGCCCCTGCAGCGTGGCAGTGCGGTTTATGCGTAAATGAGAGAGAAACTGCGGGGTGAGCCCGGGAGCGTTCCGTCACCGACGACCCGGCTGGCGGGACAGCGGGGGGTGACGAGAGCTGTGAGGAGCCCTGCTTTACTGGACGGGAGGCCGTCCGTTTCTCACAAAGCAACTTTTGGTTCCGCAGCTGAGACTGTGGGCCTGACCCTAAATCTGCAGCCGCACGTCCAGGGAGGCGGCGGGCAGCCTCACTCCAGCCCCCTGGCCATGGACTGTCCGTGCTCTGGGCACAGCCGGGCCTCGGCCGAGACTGTCCCTGCTGTCTTGTCACGTGCCCAGCGGCCGGGTCAGTCAGGCGCTTCCTCGGCTGCTTGCTGGAGGGCGGAGAGCTTGTGGGCGCAAGTGTCACACAGCTCTGTGACCGGCCCGTCAGCCCCGGCTGACAGAAGTGGGCATTTCCCCTTCAGACTGCCCCCGGTCAGCATGGGCTGCAGTCTGCTAGGCCTCTGTTTGCAAGCAGCCCTGACACCGGGAAAAGTAGCTCTGGGTCGTCCGAATCTGTCCAACGTGGCTGGCACCGCCTGCTTCCTCTGGTGTGTGTGGGGCAGTGTCTGGCGCGCTGGAGACAGGCTGCAGCAGCTGGTGGTTGTTGACGGGTCCCGAGCCCGGGTGCTGCTCCTGCAGCGGCTCCGCGGACCCGGAGTCTGGCATGGGGGTGCTGAGTGCGCGCGTCTGGACGGGAAGGAATTGGGCTTGTCTCACTTCCCTGGGGACGTGGCGACTGCCCCCTCCCCTAGGCCTGAGGGTGCCAGCAGCACTCACGCTGAGCAGCGCACACGCGCACGTCTGAGCGCTCACAGGCACCGCCTGCGCCTTCTGTTCCAGAGTCCGACGACCAGAACTACCGGGTGGAGGCCGTGCACGCGCTGGTGCACAAGCTGCCGGAGAGGAACCGGGAGATGCTGGACATCCTGATGAAGCACCTGGTCAAGTAATCCTCTCGCGCCCGCTCCGCTGCCGCCAGGGTTACGCTTGTGCCTGCCGTCCCGAGGGGCTGGGGGTGCTGTGGCGCTGTCGTGTGCCCCCAATACCTTTCAAGCAGGCGGCACCGCATGTGTCAGCCACGTGTGTGCGCCTGCATGGCTGATGCCATCACATAACTAGACCCTCTGCCCGCTAAGCCCACAGCCTCCCATGTCAGCTTAGGGACGGGCGAAGGAGTAGGTGGTTTCCCTCCAGGTGCTCTGTAAGCACGCGTCTGGCAGAGGGAAACAGGCGCCCGAAGGCCATGAAGGGGCTGGTGGCACCCAGCTTCCCGGTCAGATGGGCCCACGCCGGGTGCCTGCACACCTGCTCCCTGGTAGCGTCCAGTGTGCAGAGTCTGTCCTGTTTGGCCGTCTGCAAGGACATCGGGGATGAAACGCTTCTGATTCTGACCGGGGCCTTCTCAGCTCCCGTGGGCGAAGGGGAAGCAGCCGTGAACCAGGCTGATTCTCGTTTGAGCTAGAAGCGGCATGGATAATCCCAGATCCTTGAGTCCCTGTATCATTTCATTTTTGGCTCTGGAAGAGTGAGCATCGCTCACTCAGATACGAGCACAACCTCGCGTCGTGCTGCGGACGCCTGGCGGGGTAAGGTAGGGAAGGCGCGGCCACTGAGGTGAGGCTCCGCCTAAGTGTCTCCAGTTTCCAAATCAGGTGAGCGAGTGGGTGGTTTTGATCGTTCCTGGGATTACAGCGCCAAGGTCGGCCCCGGGCGGCCCCCGAGGCCACACATTCTCAAGTCAGCACGCAGGCTGCCGTCGCCCGGTCACTGCCGACTGGCGCAGGGCGGAGGTGAGGCGGCCGCTGCGTCCACGAAGTACCGCTCAGTGGCGCTAGTGAAGTGATGGACGGCCCCAGATGTGACCAGACCCACTCGGCCGCGACCTGCCCTGCGCGGCACAGCGCCGGGTCGGCACCCCTGCCCCTGTGCCGGCGCCGCCGACTCTGAGCGCCTGACGCGGCGCGCCTGTGCCCCGCAGGGTGTCGCTGCACAGCCAGCAGAACCTCATGACCGTCTCCAACCTCGGTGTCATCTTCGGCCCCACCCTCATGCGCGCCCAGGAGGAGACGGTGGCCGCCATGATGAATATCAAGTTTCAGAACATCGTGGTGGAGATTCTCATAGAACACTACGAAAAGGTAGGCCGCGCTTCCCGCACGCGGGGGTTCAAGCTCGCGTCTGACGGAGGCTCGCGTGCGCGGCACGGGCAGCATCGTGCGGGCCTCCGTCCTGGGACGCGTCCGTCTCGGCGCTTTCTTCCTCGGCGGGACCCTCCCTGGCTCAGGGTCTCAGTGCGTGCAGAGTGGACCGTGTCCTTCTGCATCGTTTACCTCCCAGGACCTTCTTTAGCACTGGTAGAGCCAGTTCTTGACTCCTGCTCAGAGAGTATTTCACAGTCACTTTACAGGTAAGTCTGGTTTCACCTTTGCGCTTGCTGAATTAAACTCTCAATTTTAAGGAAGAGAAAGATTCAGGGAACGGCTTGGCCGCGCTAGCTCTATCCAGTATGAGGTAAATCCTTCAAGACAGGGAAATCCGCCAGCGCCTCTGGCGTACTGGGACTTAGCATCATCCCCCTAGCTCCACCCGTGCTGCACATGGCGAAATTCCATCTCGGGTGGGCACCGTGTGCACGCACGCGACATCCCTCCCTCCTCGCGCCCGGTCACCGCACGCGTGGGGAACGGCAGAGTCAGAGCAAAGGAACAGGCCAACCCAGCCAAGCCTTGAACGCTGCCTGCAGACGGAGCGTGCCGGCGGTGGGGGGCGGGATGGGGGGTGGAGGGGTCTCGGTGGCGGACGACGGGCTTCGGGCTTTGGTGGGGAGGCGGTGTGGTCACGGCTGTCGAGGTCCACGCCTGCACCCCTGACTCACGCGCGACGGTGCACGTCAACACTGTCTCGATCTGTGTGTTTTAAAAACACACGCAGCCTTAGCGCAACTCCGGGCACAGGGGCCTGGGAAAGCCCAACGAGATGACCGAGCCCGTCCAGCGGTGCCCACTCGTGCTGCAAGAAGGGGGGCCCTGCGCGCCCCGTCCTTCCTAGCGTCTGGGGAAAGGCCCTCGGGCCCAGCTCAGGCCTGCGATGGCTCCTGCCGCGAGGCAGGCCCCGGCCGGGCCAGCGAGGCGCCCCGGGCTGAGGGGGCGGGTGTCACGCCAGGCAGAACCGGCGTCTCGTGCCGCAGACATCGCTCGTGTTCGAGAGGATCCATGAAATCACTGGGAAATGCGACCTTAACTGTTGCGCAGCGGGGGCGACTGGAAGGAAAACCCAGAGGAAAACCATTCCTCAGTGTGACCCGAAAACGAGCTGCGTTGATTCCCTGCACGGGCGCCGGCCCGGGGCTGGTCCACCCGCCCGCCGACCCGCGCCTTCCCTCCCTGCAGATCTTCCACACGGCGCCGGACCCCAGCATCCCCCTGCCGCAGCCGCAGCCGCGCTCCGGGTCCCGCAGGACGCGCGCCATCTGCCTCTCCACCGGCTCCAGGAAGCCCCGCGGGCGCTACACCCCGTGCCTGGCGGAGCCCGACAGTAAGTGCCGGCCCAGGGCGACCCGCCGGGCGCCTCTCACGTGTGGGCGCGGGCCCTGGGCCCGCCGGCGTCCCTCGTCCCGCCGGGAGCCGCGAGCTGCCTGGACGGCGCCGTCACCGCTACGGGGACCAGCTCTGCGGGGGCCGGCGCGGCTCCTGTCCCGGGCGCGCAGGTCTCTCCTCCCGGCACACGGACCCCAGGCAGCGCCGCGGGTTTGGAGTGTGGAGAGGAAAGAGAAAAAGACACGACCCAGGGGGCCTCACCCACCGCCATCCTGAGCCGCGTCCCAGAGGCGGCGGCGGGGGCCGGAGCCAGTCAGCCGGCCACGCTGAGCCCCGCCACCTGAATTTGATAGAAAACACCCAATTTTAATTCAAACTGGCTCCGTGTTGGCAGCTTTCCCGGGCCCGGCCTTTACAAACACGCCCGGCGCGCGCTTCTGACGCGGCCGCGCTCCTGGCGGGAACAGGCCGGCGGCCCTGGCGGGAGGCCCGGCCTGACGGTTCCCGGGCACTTTCCGTAGCATCCGAGAGCCTCATCCCTCTCGCCTGGGCTCCTGCTCGGCCCCAGGTTTTGTCAGGACTGGAGTCCGTCAGCGGGTGTCGCCTCGCGGGGGAGGTCAGCGGGCCTGGGGGAGGCGGGGGGGGGGCAGGTACGGTGTGGACAAGGCCCCGCTCTCTCCCGCGGCCCGCAGGTGACTCCTACAGCAGCAGCCCCGACAGCACGCCCATGGGGAGCGTCGAGTCGCTCTCGTCACACTCCTCCGAGCAGAACAGCACCACGAAGCCGGCCCCCGGCCAGCCCCGGGAGAAGTCCAGCGGGATCCCGTGGATCGCGGCCCCGTCGTCTGCCAACGGACAGAAAAGCCTGGGTCTCTGGACAACGAGTCCCGAGTCGAGTTCTAGAGAAGATGCGACCAAGACGGACGTGGAATCCGACGGCCAGAGCGTGGCCTCGGTCACCGGCCCGGGCGACGCCTCCCCGCCGGCAGACCTGGTCAAGAAGGGGCCTTACGGGCTGTCTGGCCTGAAGAGGAGCTCCGCCTCCTCCCTGCGCTCCATCCCCGCCGCGGAAGGTGAGCCGGGGCGGAGCTGCGCGGGCTGGGCCTGCCCGCCGGCCCATCAAGAGGGAGAGAGGAACGTGCAGCAGGGACGAGCAGCGCTGCCGCCTTTGCTCCCCCCGAGCTGGGCCTTTTCAAGCTCCCGTGGGCTGCGACGTTTTCCCCAGGCCCTCCCGCCTCCGCGAGGTGCTGTTTCACGGCGGCCGTGGATTGTGGTCGCCCTGCGCGACGGGTCCCTGTGCTCAGGGACGTTCTGTGCCTTCTCATTGTGCTCACAGAGAAACGCTTGCTTTTGTCCCGCGCGTGCTCTGTGTCACCGCGTTCCTGCTGCTGCTTCTGTCTAATAGCACCAGCCTGTCTTCTTGGCCTTTCTTTTCAGGAAACAAGAGCTACAGTGGATCCATTCAAAGCTTAACGTCGATCGGCTCCAAAGAGACGCCCAAAGCCCCACCCAACCCAGACCTGCCTCCAAAGGTGGGCAGGCGGCCGAGGACGGACGCCGCCTCCAGTAACGGCTACCAGCGGCCTGGCTCTGTGTAAGTGACTGTGTCTGCTGTCTCCCGGGGCGCACAGGGTGGGTCAGTGCGAAAGAACCCTCAGGCAGCCCAAGGCTAAATGCAGGTGCAGAGTGAGGCCAGAGCCCGTCTGGAGACTGCGCACGCCGCCGCCGGGGTGCCCGAGAAGCAGAGCATGCTAGGAGTATGGTGTGGTTCAAGGACGTGAGCATGTTCTAGCAGAGCTGGGCTTTGAGGCCAAGAAACTTCCCCGAAGGCCTAGCTGCGCCTCTCAGAGCAGGCTGCCGTGCCAGGCAGGGCCTGTGGGAAATACAGGTGGTCTCCAGCCTGCAGGGCTGTGGGCTCCCCCCACTCCCGCCCACCCCAAGGACTCAGAAGCCCCAGGGAACAAGCAGCAGGAAGGTGAGGTCTTCTCATCAAGAGCTGGGAGACATGGAGAGGAAGTGGGAAGCTGGACTAAGAAAATGCAGAGAGGGAGGCTCGCTCTCCCCGGCGGGCCATGGAGCCAATGCCACCTGAGCCTCCCCCCAGGCATCTTCTGGATGCTCTTCTGGGGCGTGAGTCCTCCCGGGAGCAGGAACCAGCGTGAGAAAACGACTCCGCATGTAATGACCAGTGCACGTGCGCCAGCTCCCGTCAGCGCGGGGCCGGGCTCTGACAGGGACCGCGTCTCCGTCCCACAGGCGCCGGGGGCTCTGGCGGCCCTGACAGGTTCACTGCTCAGGGCAGGCCCAGCGGGACACCAAGCCACAGAAACAGCGTCTAAAACTCACTTATTCACTCCTCCCTTTGGCAAGAGCCTTCTGGCTCCAGGCAGTGTTCACCCCGCATTCTCCTTCCCGGGAAGAAAGCCGCGCCGGACAGCGGCAGGTGCACCTGTAGCCTGTCCGCTCTCAAGCCAGGATAGTTCTAGCTACTGAGGGAGGTGAGGACAACAGCCCCGGGCCTTGAGAGGAGGAGCCGAGTGTTCTAGCAAAGGGTCTGGCTCCGGGGGGGGGGGGGGGGGGGAATATCTCAAAATTTTAAGATCTAGTTTAGAACATTTTTCAAGGAATCTGATTTCTTTGCTAGTAAATATACTCTCCTAATTACTCAGGGTGCTTCAGTTTTCTTTTTTTTTTTTTCTACCCAAGTCTCCCCTCTTCAGCGGAGCATGCCCTCCCCCGTGATCTGAAAACAAGGTTGGGTGCAGAGTCACTCACTGCTAGATTCTTAGTTTGAGCTTCACTTTACAGAAACTGCTCAAAAGTAGAAACACAGATAAGCGAGTTTAGAATCGCCTTTGTTTATTGGCATGAGCGGCAATTCTTCGGGCTCCACAAGCGCAGGAATGCCGCTGCCGCTGGGAGCAGAGTGGGGAGGAGAAGGCCCTTTACGACCAGCTGCTCCCAGTTCTCCGAGACAGGTGGAGGCCGGCAAGCTCCCCGGAGCGCCGGGGCCGTGCTGGGAGCTGGAACAAGAGCTAAAGATCTTTTCCTGGTGAAAAGTTAAAAACAAAATTCAGGTCACGTTCCGGGGACAGTCTAACTCTTCGCTTTGGCTGCGTTTACCTGGTAACACCGAGTTTCACTTTGAGCTGGGTTTTATCGATTTAACGAAGCTGCATTTAAAACTTACTTTGCAGGGTGGCGGCAAAAGCACAACTGTTTGAAAGCGTCGGTTCACTCAAGCCAGCTGCTTCTGGGCGGTAAGTTCTCAGAGCCCTTAAACCTGGTTAAAAACACAGCCGTGGAAGGGCCTCCCCTGTGGCCTAGGGGCTAAGGCTCAGCGCTGCCAGCCACAGCAGCCTGAGTTCGATGCCCCGGCCAGGGAGCTGACCCCGAGACAGGGCGGCGGGCCTCTCTGCCTTGCCCGCAGCGCCACCCAGGGGTGCTTGTCTACTCCCCTCCCTTTCCCGCTTCCCCCCTCCCTTTCCCGCTTCCCCCCCTCCCTTTCCCGCTTCCCCCCCTCCCCTTTCCCGCTCCCCCTCCCTCCACCAAAGGTGTTGAGGGGCGCTGCCCTAGCCAGACCTCCCTGATGATGAGGGCCACAGCAGGCAGCGCTCACCACCCCCCACCATGGGAAGCAACTGACACCAGAACAATCTTGTCAAACTGTCCTACCCTTTGGTCAACGATGACATGCTTAGTTGTTGAAAGAACATATAAATCTTGATTTTTTGACATCCCCCTTCAGGCTGTACCTAAAGCATGTGAGGGCAAGATAGGATCGATAACTGGACATACCGCTCTTACTAGAAGGTCAATAAAAATTCTATGGCTGTCTCTGTGGACTTACTCCAGCCAGCAATGGCCCCTCACAGTTTCCTCCACAACGCCTAGCGGGGGTGGGGGGTGCTCAGAGTGCGTTGCGCCCCCAGAGTACTTGCTTGGGCTCACCGTGCAAGACCTCGCCTTCCTTCTTCTATTGGTGCCCGTGAGTAAGGGGATTCCTGGTGCCCGAGACGCTGGTCTCTGGCCGGCCTGTTGCGGCCGCGTTGCGCCACCAGATGGAGCCTTTTACCAGGGGACACTGAGCTGTCAGTTGCGAGAATACGGTGGGAGTGACGTTCCACAGCCAGCCTCCACAGTTCTACTGTTCCACACTCGACACTCGTGTGTTGTGGATACTCGCAATCAACCCTTGCTGACCTCCTGCATGCCCGACCCCAGGAACGCTCCCCCTCGGCTGTGGGCGGCAAGGGGACATGCACATTTGGTTAATTTGGCTCAAGGAGAGAACGGGGGGATTGCAGGGCCAGTCAGGGAGCAGCGGGGGGAGCAGTCCACCCCCAGGGTGGGAAGGGAGAGACTTTAAAAAAGGCAGCTCCTTGGCGACAGCGTCCCACCCGCCGAGACTGTGGAGAGAGTGATGATGTGACTTCCGGCGTCCGCTTGGGAGGACACGGCAAAGGCAGGCACGGGCCCAGCAGTGGGGAGCCTGGGAGTGCGGACAGGCCCTCAGGACGCGTGGCAGGGCCTCTCAACTGCCCGCCCAGCGGTCACGCTGCCTGGGGAGGGTGCTCCGTGTGGAATGGCTAAGGGTCAGGCCAGGAGGCGGCGGTGGTCACCAGCAGAACCTACAAAAGAAGAGAGGCAGAGGGCTCTGGTTTCAGCCCAAGACAATGACGAGCCCTGCCATGTGCCGCAGACCCAACCAAAGTATCTGATCAAGGCCTGGAAAATGCTTTTTCTTATAAGCCTCCCCCAAGTGATTCTTACGTACAAAAAAAGTTTGAGAACCGCTTAAGAAAATGCCCCGGTGCCTGCCGTGTCCTCAGGAGCTGCTGTTCATTGCAGCCGTTTCCTTGATGCCTTGCGCCTCCAGCCCAGGCGCTCACGCTTGGCAGAAACTCACTGAGCGCAGTTCAGGCAAACTGCAGCAGCCCCTCCAGGTTCAACTGACGAATGCGTGAGAATGAAGAGAACGGAGCCCCGGTCGCCCGTAAGCCAGCAAGCATCTCCACTGTCCGCTTTCCAGGCACTCTGTGTGTAGTTACAAGCCACGGGAGCAAAGCGCAGCACAGTAGCTCGTCCAGCGACTGGTGCAAGCGACTGTCAGTCACCGGGAAGCCAGGGCTCGGCACCGCCCGCCAGGCTCCCCTTCCCCGGGAGCACCTTTAAAGATTTTAAAAAATGTTGGCGACGTCTACAGGCCTTTTGTTCAAGTGATACTTACCGTGTTAGAAATTTAAACTGAGAATTTGCATTTGAGAATCGCTTTGCATTTCTGCAGCTCCCCGTCAGGCGCTGCTCCCGAGCTGGGGCTCCGCGGTCCTGCCTGCCCCCACCCTAGAAACACAGGAAACCAGGAAGCTGGTTCGCCGGAATGTTCCTACACCGCTGGCCAGCCCGGGAGATGCTCAGACACGTGGAGACACCGCCCCTTCCTCCCTTCGCTGTCAGGGAGTTGCCATCTGCCCGCCTTTCACCGAAGTCCTTTTCACTCCACAAGCTCCAGTGGGGATTTTTCGGCACTGAGGGACTGAAGCCACAAACACCCAGTGTTTGGTCACAGAATCCGAAGAACAAGTAGCCAATGTTAAGAACCCTCCCGCCAGCGACCCGGGAGCAAATGCAGTGTCCCGTGTACACTGTCAGGCCGCCAGGGGACTGGCCAAGGACAAACCTGTGTGAAATTCCTGCTCCCACCTGGCCCGTGCGCTCTGCTCCAGCAGCCCTTGTCAGAGCCGGGCACGTTACTGAACTGGTGTGACTCACCTGTCAAGCCATCTATTGCTTTCAGCTTTTCTATAGGTTGAAGTGGCCTTCTAGAAAGCATGTCTGCTTTGACTGGGTGAGTGATGTCTCCCTCACGATGTGGACAAGTACTGGCACATTCGCACACTGACCTCCGGAAGCCTCTGGAAGGGCCCGCATCTGCGTGGGTGGTGTCGGAGCCAGGCCCGGGGCCTGGAACGGACTGTCCTCCAGGTGACGAGGGCCGGCAGCTCTCAGGAAGGGTGTCGTCATCTACCTCTCATGTAGGAAGCAAGGTTTTCAAAATTCTTTTCAAAGGCTATTAAAATCTTCTGGAGAGAAAATTCAATAGGTAAGAGTATTCTTCTCACATCCTCTTCAGCACACCAAGGCAGCGTTAGCCCCTGGAGAGAAGATTTCACTGCCATAGACGTCTGCACTAAATTGTCAGCGCGCTCGGCCCGTAGCACCTGCGGTTACGTGTCTCAGCAGAAGAAAACTGTACCTGTCTAGTCACAACCACAGAGAACTGAAAAGCCTATGCTGTGTATTTCTGACACACCGATGATGTAATTATTCTGCACGCCTCCCCCTGCATACCGAGTTTACTCAAAGGAAAACTCCAGCCTGAAATATTAAAAGAACCTCAGTGGCATCTTCAAGTGTAATTTCAAAAACCGCCTGACGGCAAGGGCTAGGCGTCTCTTGATGACTCAGGCCGGGAAGGCAGTGCTGACTGGAGAAACAGAACACTTGGTCTCAAAAATCTTACAGAAATCTCTAGAGAAATGCTTATGCAACCTTCAGTTAGCGCAAATGACTAGCCGTGACTAACGACGTACAGGAAGACACAGTGCGAGGTAAGTCTGACCTTCCCCGGTGTGCAGAACTTGGTGGCGCCCTCGGCCCAGTGCCCGCCCGGCGGGCTGCTGTGCACCCACACGCCCCGAGCAGCACGCAGCCGGCCCTCCCGGCGCCTCCCGTGCTCTGCTCTTTCTCGTGCTGGGTCACGGGGAGGCGAAACAGGTCCCCTACGAGCTTCCTCAGTCTGCCTGAGACTCGCCTCAAATGAAAGATGGGGCAGGGCGGGAATGACCATCCCTGCGAGCTCGCCCTCCTCAGCGCACCCTCGGGGCTCCCAGGGCATTCTGGAACTGCAGAGGGAGGCAGTGCAGGGGCTGGTGCTGATCTGCAGCTCACACGTCCGGGCCTGGGGGAGGAGCAGGAAGGTGCCCCGACTGTCGAGTAGAAACACGGCTCAGCGCGTTTCCCCTTCTCCCCTCAGTTTCAGTGAGTAGTTACTAGCACGGACTGGGCGTTGTTCAGGGAGGTTACGGCTTGTCTGGGGGAGAAACACCATCGCAGAGCAGCAGTTACAAAGGCAGCGGGAGGAAGGCTCTGCTGTTTGTTCCGGCTCGTGGTCAGGAAGGCCCTGGCTTTTGTTGGTTCAGGACATTTACGATGAACTTCTGGAAAGAGGAAGATGCAGATGTCTCACGCAAGGACCCCCCTCTCCTGGAGGCGAGAAAGGGCCCCCCTGACAGGAGAGGGGAGCAGAGGCAGGTACACAGGAAGCCAGCAGAAGCCGGCGCTGGCTGCCAGCGGCGGGAGCCAGAGAGGGCTAGGGCTGGCGGGCTCGCCACGGCCATCGCGTGGCCACCACCTTCTCACACTGCCGTCGGGCTGCTCTGCAGGCCAGCAGGGGGCCTGGAGGACCCGAAGGGTAGAAGCCAGGCAGCGCGCCTCTCCAGCAGGGCTGTGACTGAAGAGAACCAGCCACAATCTCCCAAGACAACTGGATGGTCGCCGAGGAGACCTGACCGACAGGGACGTGACTGGCGGCCTCATGAGGGCCTTTTCATGTTGGCTGAAGTGCTGTTAAGCAAAGCGTGGCTGAAATTAAAATTCTGGCTTCTATTAAAAAGCAGAGCCTGATTTCCCATTTGGTGACAGATTCCCATTCAGGAGACGCCCTCCGTCTGTCCGTGTGGCCTCCGGGCAGCGAGACGGGCTGTTTGCCACAGGTGCCACTTCCCCTGCGGCCCTTACCGTCCGGGGCTGCTCTTCAATAAAATGAAAGTCATGACACACACAATGGAAAGTAGTGGCGACATTCCAGCCAACAGCAGCATCCCTCAGACCCAGGGCGGCTGCCCGGGCGGCTGGTGCGGCGGGCTCTTGAGAAACGCCCGCGCGCGCGGACGACTACGGTTAAGACCGCGGTGAGTGTACGTGTCCTCAAGCTGACCAAAACGTCTCTCCTCTTTCAGCCAAGCCAAGGCCATGTACTCCTGCAAAGCGGAGCACAGCCACGAGCTCTCCTTCCCGCAGGGGGCCGTGTTTTCTAACGGTGAGTGGACGGTCCCCTCCGCTGGCGTCACGGTCCCTGGGAGGCCGCGGGGCTGGCGCAGAGCAGGAGGCTGAGGGAGGCGCCCGAGACGTGTCGCGCCGGGCCCCGCCCGCGTAGCCGCTATCCGGAACACAGCGAGCACCGGGGTCCACCCGGGCCCGTCCTCTCACCGAGGAGGGCACATGACTGCGGTGGCACCGGCCGGGATGGCCGCGATCGCCTGAGTGTGCGCGTGGCCGTCGCCGTCTAAAGCTAACGTTTTTTTGTTTCTTTGGCCAGTGTACCCATCGGTGGAGCCAGGATGGCTGAAGGCAACCTATGAAGGCAAAACAGGACTAGTCCCAGAAAACTACGTCGTCTTCCTCTAACGCCACTCAGCGGACGGCAGTATCTTCATGGTATCCATGGTGACATAATAAGTGCTACGGCTTTATCTGACACAGACAGGGGATCAGCCCACTAAATGGAAACAGTGCATTCCCATCGAGGTCTATACCAGCAGCCTGTGTAGCTCCCAATCCTGGAGAATTGAAAAGCACAAAATTCTAAGTTGTTCGCCATTTTGACTGTGCTGGGTTCTTATTTAAAAATCCCGCGCGTCTGTGCTGTGACAGTCTCCCCTCTCAGGCCCGAAGGCGCTACCCCAGCTCTGCCCGTCACTGTCTGACGCCCTGAGGAACCTTGAAGTCATTCCTTGATGTAATTTAAATTGTGCATTTTTTTTCTTGAAAATATTCTGCTTTTATACGTGATTGTTTTGCTGGTCCTAAGCATTTCAAGATTTCTCTTCAACTTTATCTGTATTTGGTTACTGAGGAGATAATGTTCAGAAGAGTAACGCGTGAGGTGGCTGTGAAGGGCCCCGGCAGAGGCGCACCGACCCTCCCGTCACGGCCGCCGGCCCCAGGTGCCGCCCCTGCCCCGCCAGCCCCGCGGGTCTGCGCCTCTGCTGGGCCCCGCTGCAGGGCGGCTGGGGAACGGGCAGGCCGGACGCGCTGCATCACTCACGCTGCTCCAACTTCTCGAAGCCTGTTTAAAACTGTACGTGTTCTCAGCGGGGAGCGCTGGGGCCCACGGTCCTGTTCGCCGCAGCGGCAAGGCGCGGACACTGTCACGGGGCTGTAGGGACGGACAGGGCGCGCGGCCCCCGGCTCCTGCAGGACAGGCGGGACCCATGGCGGGTGCGGCCCCGCCGCCTCACGCCCTCCGGCGCTGGCTTCTGAGGAATCCTACAAGGGGTGAGCGTGTTTCCCGGCACGAGTCCGGCGGCACGGCCTTCTCACGTCGGCGCCGAGCTGAAACAGAATCTACACAGAAGGCCGGGCTGGGCTCCGGGGAAGCATCGGATCCGCTGATTTCCTGTCCTGCCATTCGATTTCCAGCCTTGCCCGGGAATCCCAGGGACCTGAGAAGGTGCAGAAATAGGTCCTCGCGTCTCTACCATCGACCTCTGTCGCGCCTCCACCGCTGCTCCTGTTCCAGGAGTCCTGCCCGCGCCTCTGCGGGAGACGAAAGCCTTGGTACAAGCGCCGAGAGGCCGGTCGCCGGCCCCCACGCTCCAGGGCCTGAGACGCCAGCGGCAGGCCCGTGCTCAGTCTCTCCCCCGCCCCCCGCACCCCCCCAAGTTCCCGTTTCCAGAGCAACACACCCCTAGGCCTTGGAAACACGCTGTCACAGTTACCGCAGGGGGCCGCGCTTCCCAGGGAAGAGCACGGCGCGGGCGGGCGGCAGGGCCGGGGCTGGGGGCACCAGCGCTTCTCGCCCCCCAGAGCCCAGGGTGACAGCAAGAGCGGCGCTGCCTCCTCAGGACCCTCTGCTGGAACAGAAGGTCGTCTCCCCGTGTACCAGCCCCTGCCTACACCGCACCCACCTCTCTGGCATCCTAACCTCTTAAGGCAAATTAAATTTTCTTTCAAAGGCCATCTTGACTCCAGACAAGATTCAGACTCCTACTTCACCTGCTGCTGCACAAAGAAATCTCAACCTCGTTGTTTTTTTTTTTAAGCACAGAGTGTTCCCGCCGCCGGGTGTCTGTGAGCTGCGAGCCGGTCCCCGCGCCCCAGGAGGAACGGCGGCCCTCGCGTGGGACACGGCGCAGGCCCGCCCCCGTCCTCCTGGCCCGATGCCCGGCGGCCCTGCGGGGTCCCTTTCTCGAAACACGCTGTAAAAGACCTTGTCCTTGGTGCGCCTGAGGTTCAAAGCTTGCAGGGACGGGGCGAGGAAGCTCTCTTCACGCCGTGGCAGCGGCGCGTGGAGGAGCCGCAGCCTCCCTGGCCCGAGAAGCCGCCTGCCGAGCACGAGCGCCAGCTGCTCTCCTGTGTGCGCCCCGAGGCCACTGAAACCAGCCCCTGCAGCCTGTTTCCTAGAAATGGCTCAACAATGAAAGGGCTCGCCTTGAGGCCTCTGGCAGGATGCGTGCGGCTGGCTGCCCTGTTCAGGGTCCTGTGGGAGTCTCCGGGCTTCTCAGCCCGGCTCTCCCAGGGAGAGTGGGGGAAACTGCACCTCACAACCCCCAGCTAGCCAGGCTCCCCAGTAAGAGAAGTAAAAACGCACCAGATGACGTATCTGGCAGGCTTCCAGGACGCCGCTGTACGGGTGGCAGAGCCGGCACCGCAGTGCTGTGGCAAGAACCCCCTGCAGACCCCTCGCTCCAGCCTCTCTACAGGCCCGTGCCCGAGTGAAAGGGCATCCCTGGCACGGTCAGAGACACCTGCACAGCCTCGATCTCCACCCCGGGTCGTGCACACAGGATGACTTAATCAGTGCTCAGACCCGCGGCCTGACGTTCCTGACCGTGTTAGCAGCAGACCACAGGCTTTGCTCCTTGGCTTTACCACACAGCGTGATCCGCAGCTGTTGCTCTGACCGCTGCGCCCTAACATCACTGGCGAGCACGCCCAGCCCTCTCCCTGCGACGAGAAAAGCAGCCCATTTAGCTTTACCTCCTACCTTTCTGGGGTCCCTCCCAAAGTCCACACACCTCTGCGGAGCGAACAGTCTCAAAGACCCACTGTCAGGTCACCAGCGACTAGTCTCACCCTGAGCACATTATCCACCCCCCGGATCTCCCGCCTCATGTACAGACCCCACTCGCAGTAACTCGGGGCCTCAGGCTTACGAGCGGCACGAACTCCCAGAGCATCAGATCAACGCGCGGGACTTCTCGGGTCCTGTGCGAGCAGCTGCGTCACTCTGAAATGCCCTCACGTGCACGTGCTGCACACTCACGCCCATGGCAGGAAGCCGGCGCACTCGCTCTGGACAGTGGCTGGAGGCGGTTGCAGAGTTAGGGGCCCAGCAGTTATCCCTTCTCCCCATTACTCATGAGACGACCCCAGCTCACGGCTGCACATTTCTGGCACTCCTGGGCGAATGGCGGCTCTGCGCCCCGACAGGGAAGGGGCACACGCAGACAGGGCGGGCAGAGGAGGGCCCCGGGCCTGCGCCCTCCCAGCTCACGAGAGGGTCTGTGGCTCCTAGTGCCTCACCACCCCTGCCTCACGGACGGCACTGCCCACGCGTGACTGATTCTTGAATTCCAAGGTAGCACCACATTCTGAGCTCTGAGCAGAACTTTTACTAATAAATAGGGAGTTTGGCAGGGAAGACTTGACTGCTTTTTGTTTCTTTAATTCAGAATTCTATTTATATACTGCTAAGATTTGTAAGGTACTATAGTTTATATAAAAGTTGAATATTTAGATGTTATATTTCAGTACCAGGAGTTTCTTTGCAGCCATTAACATGACAAAGTAATAAATATGAAAATGATCGTCAGTAAATTATATTGAATTCTCTGTCTATTTGGTAGTGTTTCTGTATTTATCTGCACTTTGTGTATATATACACAGGCGTACCCCAGCATGTAAATAACCTCATGTTACTTCTAATTCAATTTGCCACAATATCGTTAATGTATGTTTACACTGTACTTTAAATTACTTTTAAAAATAAACTACTTAAGCACATTTTGTCTTAGATTCATAAAGAAAAAAAGCAAAGTTTCAAGTACTGGAAGCATGACCTGGGGAATGGCTGAGCTGCACATGGCAGCGGCATTGGCAACCACCTCCTGAGACATCCAAGAGTCACTCCTGCCGCTTCCTACCAGCAGGGGAGGCCACAGGCAGCACCCATGGGCTGCAGGGAGGGCCTCAAGGAGGGCCACAGGCAAACACCTCCGGGTGTTTCCTAGTTTCATGACCCTTTTGATCACTTTGACTTCTGACTAAATTTTGCTTCTCTACATCAGAAAAGAATTGTGCATTTGTTCTGCTACTAGAGTATAGCAGATCCTCTGGCAAAGACACAGACAGACTCGTGGGCTTCATTACCTGGTCTGCAACGGGAGGGCAGCCTTCTTCACAGACAAGGAGCATCAGAAATTCATGACACATAAAGATTCATGTGGTGGTGGTTCAGGGTAATTCGGCAGGTAGGAACGTCAGGTGAGGCCACTGGGGTCGGCACCATCTAAGAACGCTGCGTAAAAGGCATAGACCTACATGGATGCTGTTGCGACTGGTAAGTTGGCCAAATAGTCCCATGGCTAAGACTGGAATGATGTGAGCAACAAAGTAAGTAGCAGTGTAGGTTAAACCCTCAGACCCACCCTAAAGATACTTTGGGTTTGGTTCCAGACCATAGCAATGAAATGAGTCACATAAAGAAGTTATTTTGGGGACCTCCCTGGTGGCACAAGGAGTTAAGCCCAGCACTATGAAGCTGTCCTCAGCCACTGCAGTACGAGTTCAATCCCCAGCCGGCCAGGAGATACCCACATGGTGCAGCAGACCTCTCCTGTCTCGCCCACTGCTCCCCTCAGCAGGTCAGGGGCTGGGGTGAGCTGCCTCTTCCAGGTCCTCATCCTTCCACCTAACACAGGACAGAGCACTGTCCCAGCGGCCACCATTCAGGAGAGAGCTGGACCTGGTCTTTGTTCTCGAGGGATGCATGGCCACTGGGGAGACAAGACACCGGGCTGAAAGCCACACACACGAGCTAAGGGCAACTGAGGCAAAGTGTGCGAGGAGCACGCACCACCGCAGAGTTCAGTAGGGAGCAGAAAGGGTTAGCCGCAGAGGGGACGGTCCTCATTTGTCTGGAGGGCAGACAGTCTCAGGAACGAAAGCCTAGAGACTCGGGGCAGAGTGAGGTTCCCGGGCTGGGGGATGCGGCCGGTGAGGCCGGGCGCTGAGAGCTGTGACGACGCACAGGACGGGCCAACGCGCGCTGGCCCTCTGAGGCGCCTCGCAGGAGAGCGCGGCATCCGCTCTACCTGGGGGAGACTGGCGGAGGGCCCTGCAGAGCAAGGCTGGGGAGGCGACATTGCATCAACCCCGGTGAAGACAAACGAGCAGAACAAGGAAATGACTCACTGCAGAGGTCGCGGTGACATGCCATGACCCCTGTTTCCAGTAATTAAGGGGATTCAAATGTGGCTCAGCTCCCTGTGGGCTGCACAGCAAGGATGGCAATGAAGGCAAAGTTATCAGGGGTGACAAGGCGGGCACAGGCAGGGCACGGCGGGGCTGGGGTGGCCCAGCCAGTCCTGTTCTGGCGGAGTCCCACAGGGCTTTAGAGAGGGACCGCTGACACTCCCCAGCATCGGGGCCTTTAACTTGGTCTCCAGGAAGGCCTGGGGTGCGGGACTCGAGTCTCCCAGGGTGTCCGTCCAGTCAGTGCGTGCACATTTACCCGAGGAGGAAGGTCCACTGACAGGACTAAACCCCCAAGAATTTCACTCCTGTGCTGGACCCCAGGGCCTCTACACAGAGCACAGAGCGCCCCAAGACTGCTGAGCACAGAGCAGCTCACAGCGGCGGCTGGACGGCTCCGGCAGGGGCAGCCCCGTGAGAGGTGACAGTGGAGGTTCACCTGAGACACCCTGATATCGGGCTGAGGAAGGAGCAGACCCGCTCAAGGCCGCTGCCGCCTGCCCAGCCCTTCGGGGAGGGAGCGTGGGCAGCCAGGGCCCAGGGGAGGAGGGACACCAGACTGCAGTCTTCAACCTGGGGCTGGGGGGACCTAGAAACTGCTTCCTGCTCTGGGAGATCCAAGTGCCAGGGAGGAATCTTCTGGCCTTTGCAGAACAAAAGGCGGCTGCCCCACACAGCCCCCTCTATCCCAACCCCCCCCACTGGGGTTTTTCTGGGAGTCCCATCTGGGCTGTGCCCAAGACAGTGTGAGTGGCGGGAAGCACAAAGCTCTGGGCTGCAGCAAGTAAAGTAAGGGGGAGAGGGGCTTCTCCCAGCCTCTGCTGCTGCTCACGGCCCCCCTACTGCAGACCCCACTGCTGGATAGAACGCCTTAGTAACTAGTCAAAGGTGATTCATGACTCAAGAGCTCCACACAGAACTCTGAGGATCACACCAGCAGACAGAAAAAGCGGCTACCGCTCCAAGGAAGCAGGGACTCAGACCCACCCCAGGGACTGACAGCTTACAGGAGAGAGTGTGGCTACTACAGAAGGATGCCAGAAGCTGGGTGTGACCAAGCTGGTTGCCTGCAGCTGACCTGTGGGGCAGAGACACTAGCAGGAGGGGAGGCTGGTGGGCAGGACCACTGAGGACCACCCAGGAGAGCGCCGTGGGCTGCCTCCATCTGACCTGCTTCCTGTCCTCCTCCCCTCAACTGACCAAGCCTAAGGCTGCAGGGAGGCCAGGATGCGCATGTCCTGACCTGGCCTGTCAGAAAGCAGGACCGAGGAGGGTCTCTGCAGCTTAAGGCAGCCGACTGGTAAGGGGCACATCTGTAATGACTGTTGGCCTCAGATCAACAAAGCCGTGTAGCACCAGCACGGGATGGAACAAATACTAGATCTCTACGACTCAATTACAAACCAGATAAAATTTCGATCTTCACTACTCACATCAGAATTGCATGGGGAATTTTTGCAAATACAAAATAATGAAATGATTGGTATATGCCTTGCATAAAAGAAAATACAACTATTTTCATTTCAGAAAGTAGAACTATATACCTAGAAAACCAAGGCACTCTACCCAAAACAACCTGTTAGCATTGCTAAGAGAATCTGTTAAGGTATTTGGAGATAAGGGAATATACACGTAAGATTTTCTGTCCTATTCTGGAAATCACATGTGACAGAAGAGTGTAAAATGCACACACATATTTTAAGAAAGTTAAAGGAACTTTATGGAGAGAAATCCAACATTTTATGGAAGTTGAAACAAGTGTTAAATAGAAAAGTCCTAACTGCTAGGATGTTGCGAATTAGCATTTTAGGCGCAGCAGAACTCTCCTGTCTCCCCGCCGCTCCCCTCAGCAGTGGACTTCGGGCAATCCACCTGTTCTGCTCCCCGCTCTGTCTCTGGTGAGTCCTCTCACTCCCCGCACCTCTGGCCTGCACCCCAGCTCTTGTATGTATAAATAAATAAATCTTAAAACTTAAATTTTTACCCAATATCCAGCAACTCAAATCCTCAGGTTGAAGACCGACCTAGTCGCTGTCAGGGCTTTCAGACCATGAAACTCGGTCACTGAAATCTTACTGTCTTACTATTTTGATACCAATGTCTGGGTTTCTTTGGTTGGTAAAATTTTGTTACTCTGCAGATCATCTCGGGAAAGGGCGCATCCCTGCTGCCTCTCCACTGCAGCAGGGCTGCCACACGCAGGCAGGCTGGAAACGGCTCCTGAAATCCGCAGTCGGCCTCTGGTGGGCGGCTCTGAAGAGCCGCGTCTCCCACAGTGTGGAGCTGTTTGTTCCTGAGTGAGCTGCAGCAGGTCTGGGGAGACAGCAGCCACCTCAAGGAAGGGAGCGGCCAGAGCTCGGGTGTGGCCTCCAGAGGGGCCTGCTCGTCCACCTCCTGGGGCGCCGCTCACGTGCCGCGTCTGGGCCCCTCCGAAGACGCAGAAGAAGAAACTCCGCACGCCGCTGATTCTTTCTCCTTATACAATGATAGGAAAAGGACTTTATATTCAAACAGGAAAAAAAAGGGAAACTTTCTGCTCACAAGGTAACGACTTCCTGCCTTTATGTTTTCGTAGAATTCTTTGGGTTCCCCCCCTTCCAGAGCCCCCCCCCATTTCTGACGGTCTCTGTCAGCTGCCGTCTCGCGGGGGACCGAGCAGAGCTGAGTCGCTGAGGCGGCCCTGCCTGCGTCAAGCCCCGCCTGTCTGCCTCCCGGCCTCCTGACCTGCAGCAGGCGCTTCGAGCAGCCCTCAGAGCAGGCGCAGCGGCTGTCGCTACAGGGGCACTGTCACCTGCTCCTCCTCCCGACCCTGGGAAATGCTCATGCAGATTCCACACATGTGGGAACACCTGGAGGAGCCGCAACAAAGTGAACATGCAGGAATCGTAAAGCCCTCGACTTTCCTTCGGGCCAGGGCCTCCGGGGAGCACGGCCGCCTGCTGCCCGTGCGGCGCGGAAGAGGCCAGCCTGTCCTCCAAGACGACAGCGACTCTCCCGACGGCAAAGGTGAGTAAACACTGCTTCAAGTATCAGACTTTCGAGACTGCTGCTGGCACGGGAAGCGGCCATCGAGGTGCACTTGTTTGAAGCTACGGCGCTGTTTTCCAAACAATGCAAACAGACAATTTATCAGTGGCATTTGGCAGACAGCACGCCTGGCGGCCAGTGTTTCCCGCGGTCCAGAGGGAAGGGCGAGGCCCAGCGGAGCAAGGTGGGCTGCGGGGCCAGAGCGGGGCGAGGCGGCGGGCGCCTCCTCCTGCAGCAGCCCCTCTCTCAGCTTCACTTCCTGCACTTGGAAAGCGCGCCCTTCCTACCAGGCCCGCTGCCAAGGTGAGGTAAGGCACGAGAGTGGTTGTGGAAGCCTCACAGACGGTGAGATCAGACAGGAGTTCCCACCAGCTCAGCTGTCGCCTGAGGAAAGTGAAGGCGGGAGGCTGACGCAGGTGTCTGTTCAACGGTGCAACAGTCCACAGACATCACTTAGGGCGTTAGCTGAATTATTATTTCTATTTCGTTATAACACTT